AAGGAAATTATAGATAAACTGGATGCAAATATCTCCATGCTCTATTCTATTCATAATTCCGATTGTTAATTATCCAGGCTATTTAAAAATTGTGCTTCAAAGTTTGCTACAAAAGACCATTACTCCTCTTAAAATATTTTAAATATTAAATTCATTAATAACTCTAGCATAAATTAATACCAACGTTAAAGAGTCATTTTAGGCTCTCAGAGGACTGCATATATTATGCAACAGGAATAGAGGATTCCCCGACAGACTTACGCCAATCTGCATAACCATGTCCGAAGCTCTCCAGGAGTCGCTTGCCCGCATCGAACTATTATGAAACTCGAAGGTGGAAGGTGCCACACGCACGGCAACGGGCCAGGGTCAGGGGCAGGGCCAGGTGCCAGTCCAAGTGCAGGCGCAGGTGCAGGGTCAGGTGCCGCCGAGGACGACACCTGCAACGGCGGCGGCAACTCATGCCAGGCGCCGTCAACTGCTCTCCATGGCCAAGTGCCGCAGTCGCTCCATTCTACTTAACGATGAAGCCCCCATGCCGGAGGCAGCCTGCCCTGCGCCAGGTCCTCCTTCAGTTCCAGCTCCTGCGAGTCCCTTGCCACAAGCCCAACAACAACAACAACCGCAACAACAGAACTACTTACCTCAAACATCTTTGCTGAAAATCGAACCGTTCGTTCCTAGTTTTAATCAAAGACTACGCCGGCGTCCTATTGGTCGCTCCCATAGCACCTTAAGCCACAATGCTGTCCCAAAGCGTCCAGTGCAGCAGCAGCTCCAGATCCACCAGCAGCAGCAGCAGTCGGAGCTCCAGGTTGGCCAACAGCAACAGCTCAAGAGGAGCTATGCAGCCGCCGTCCAAATCCGACAGCAGCAACAGCAGCACCAGCGGAACTTGCCACGGGGCGTTGGCATCCAGCGTCAGCGGTCCAAGTCCACATCCTCCTCGGCGGCCTCCAATAACTGTCGCCCGGTCACAGCCGCTGCCACGCCCAACACACTGGTGGGAAGCACAGGCGGAACGCTGGTCAGTGGTGCCATAGTGACACCCCAGCCAAATGGCATCTGCCGTATCCAGCGTTTGGCCAAGGAGCGCGAGGAGCTGCCCGATCGCATCAATTACGACCGTCGAGGTCTGACCGCCATACCCATCTTCGAGCAGGAACCCAATCTGAGGCTGCTGTCGCTGCAGCACAACCTGATCAACACCTTCCACATACCCAAGGAGCTGCCACCACCGCCACCGCCTCCGCCGACGGTGCCCACTCCTGCCATTGCCACACCGAGGGAGGGGAATAATAACAATATCAAGCTGGGAGGTAAGTATACGTATCCAAATCCAAATGCTCCTAGGAAGATGTATTAAATATTAAGATTATGCTAATAATTCTACGAAATATGATTATGTTTTTTTCATTAAACATAATGATCTTTCAGAATACAACAATACTAATGGAAACAAGCAACTGCCGGAGGGAGGACGCTCTGGCCTGCGTGGCCACCATCCAGGGAGACTTACCCGCGCCATGACAAATGCCGGAAATCCGCATAACAACCGCCTGTCACCGAAATCCGGTGGCAGTCCAGGATCGGGCAGTCCGCTGACTACTCAGGCACTAGCTATTAATGGAGGCGGAGCCGCCGGACGCTCCAAGCTGACCAAGAGGGGCTATAACTACGGACAGGCGCAGCTCACTCCACCGCCGGCACTGAGGATGCGTTACGGTCTGGAGAAGTCCAAGAGCTTCGTAAGCAGCAGCCTGCAAGCGATGAAGCACCAGCAGCAGGTGATTCAACGTCGGGCCTTCCTCAATGCCAACAGAGCAGGTGGAGTGGGTTTGCCCGGAGGAGGCGGAGGAGGAGGTGCAGGCTGTAATCTCCTCCAGAGCTGCGACGAAGGCAGCGCCATACACAGCAGTAACCTTTCGCTGTGCGGTGGCTGCGGCGAGGAAGAGGACGTCCCCAGTGTAATGGCCTCCATTTCTGCTCTGGACCAGCTGAGCATCAAGAACAAGCAGCTAAGTCTGAGCGCCAACTACGGGAGCATCTTCCAGCAGCTCGTTTTCCTGGATCTCTACGATAATCAGATCGAGAGGATAGCCAACTTAGATGGCCTGCCCTCGCTGTCAGTCCTGCTGCTTGGCAAGAACAGGATCACGGACATAGGAGGTCTGTCCTCTTTGAAAGACTCCCTTAGAGTGCTGGATTTGCATGGCAACAAGCTCACCAGTCTGGGCAGTCGCATCAACTGCCTGCAGCAGCTCAAGTCGCTGAATCTGGCGGGGAATCAGATCCGTCAGATCAACCAGCAAGACTTCCTGGGACTGCGCTGCCTGAGGGAACTGAATCTGAAAAGGAACAAACTGCGGCGGATTAACGGCTTCCAGCATCTGGTGGCCCTGGAGAGGCTGTGGCTGTGTCACAACGAACTGCACCGGGTGGATGATATGGCCAGCATCGCGAGAGCCAGCCGCCTGCTGGAGGTCACAATCGAGAACAATCCTGTCTCGCTGGCAGGGGACTGTGTGTCCTTCCTGGTCTCATACCTTCCGCTGCTGCAGTCGCTCAGCCAGATGCCCATCACGGAGCAAGTGCGTCGAGCGGCCCTGGCTTGGCGCCAGCACAAGGAGCAGGCTCAAGCTGCTCCCGGGAGCTCTGAAGCGTATCAGAGCATTCGACGGGAGGAGGTGATATCCAATGCGCGTACCAACTGGGAGCTCCTCCGATCCCAGCAGACTGTTGCAGGTCGTCCCAAGAGCCGGCTAACCAGTGAGCTGGCCAAAATCAACGAGTCCAACGAAGGTCCAGCCGCCGAGGAGGCAGAGACTGAGTCCGAGGAGTCACAGCAGCCCAAGGAGCTGATGGACGAGCTGCAGGCGCTAATTAAGCTGCCACCGATAGCCAAGAACCTGCAGACGCCGCAGGAAGAGGATGGCGGCTCCTCGGAGGCCTCTAGTCTGGGGCCCAATGTCGACTCCTGCTCCAGTTGCTACAGCACGGATAATGAAGAGGGTGTCAAGAACAAGCCGCAAACGCCACAGATGGACGAGAACTGCAACAAGTTGGGTCTGGCTGAGAAAAGTCCACCGTCACCTGTCCCAGCTCCTCCTCCGGCATCTTCTCCATCTCCAGAAGTTTCCAAGGTGACACCTCCGCCTGTGGTTGCTTCTTCACCTTCACCGCCTGCCTTAACTTTGACGCCACCGGCTGCTCCTGGAACTCCAGTGCCCGGCGCTGCGCCAACTCCACCACCGGTCGCAGTAAACAATACCCTGCCAGTGCCCGCCACAGCATCGTCCAGCAACAGTCGTCCGGCCAGCAGCAAGCAGCGATCCAGACACGCGCCCATCACACAATTGGGATTGCAGATTAACCAGAGAGGGGGCGGAGGGCCAAACTCCAGGCGCTATATGGCTGGTAGCTTGGTGCGGGCTCAGACTGTGAGCAGCAGCACCAGCAACAGCAGTAGCTCCAATAGCACGGGTCGCGGAAAGACCTCAAACAATGGCCTTACTTTGGTGGCCACACAAACTAAGGCGTCAACAAGTGCTTCGTCCAATCAGTCATCGGCGGGAGCCGGTAGCGGTGCCGGAACAGCCGGAACAGGGGCAGCTACATCAGGAGCTGCAGGAGCACCATCCACGCCCACAGCAGCAATCACGGTGTCCAAGCCCAGCGCTGCTGAACGGGAGAGAGAACAAGGTGGAGATTATTTGATCGAGATTTGTGGAAGATACTTGAACATCTATGGCCAGGGAGCCCTTCGCTTCATCGACAAGCAGTGGAACCCGGCCAAGGCTAACGATGTGCACACTCTGAACTTCAGCTACATCAACTTCAACAGTATCGTGTGTGTGCTGGGGAGGATCAAAGTGAGGTTCCCGCACGCCGAGCACTTCGTCTTCCGTGAAACGAACATCTCCTGTTTGGGACAGCTCAATGGACTGGCCGAGCTTCAGGGGCTGAGCAGCCTGCTCATCGATGTCGAGGGCAATGGTATCACCCAAAAGGAATCCTGGCGAGCGTACGCCATTTACAGGCTGTCGCACTGGGGGCTGAAGCAGCTTAATGGACAGGAGGTCACCGAGGCCGAAGTGGAAGCCTCCAATGCCATGTACGTTGGTCTCTCCGATCTGGTGCTGTGGTCCATGCCGGAGGTGATGCTGCAACCATTGTTGGCTCGACTGCGTCTGGATGAGACCTGCACGGCCAGTAAGCTGTCGCCAAAGGAGTGGCTTCTCCGGCCGGACAACAAATCCCTGCGTCTGGTGGTGGGCAAGGAGGCGCTTCAGTGGAAGAAGAACGCTGGCGGAGCCGGATCTGGGGCGACAACTTCATCCTCTATGTCCCTGAATCCTGCGACAGAAGCGGGAACCACTGCTATGGCGCCCAGTGCCCGGGATCGGGGTCGTCAGCACTTTGCCCTGCTGCTGGAGAACACCTGCAACGCTGTGGAAAAGCTGCACAAGCTGGAGACGCTCTGGCCAAGTATGCTCCTGGACATTGTGCGGAATACACTTTTGGATTACGCCCAGCTGGATGTCTACCTGCGGAATCTCATGTGCGAGCTGATGAAGTGAGAAGTTCCGCGAGAAGTTATTAGTCATATTCTGGCTTCTAGATAGAGACGCACTGATATAGAGCAAATCATTATATATATTCCTATGATCCTAGGCATTTACATGTGTCCACGCGACCAATCCTGTAAAGCATCAGCTTACAACTAGTCCAATTTTTATAAATATTTAACATTAAACATAATTAAAGTGAGTACCAAAATAGAATGGTGTACACCAGAAATGCATTCGGGCGAGTTTAACCCACATTCCAAAATCCTCCATTAATCATTACCTAATTCTCCGCCTCGATCCATTTCGCTTTACAACTAGGATAAAAGTGGATTCCAAATGGAAAGCAATTTTACGAATTTCAAGCTGGCTTTTGTTTTGGAAACTGTATTAAATTTCGGAGGTTTAGCTTCCCAAAAGAAAGAAAAAATATTGTGTTAAAAAATAGTTTGTGCTTAAAGCTGAAAATACCAAATCTTTAACCAATCTTAGGAACTCTTTCAAGTATTAAATCTTAGGTTAGTTTCTTATAGTTTTTGGCCAGTTAAAGCTTATAGGCAAGGACCAGCTTGAAGTTCACAAATAGTCTAAGAATTCCAAAAACCAATCCACTCAAACTTACATAATTCTACGCCCGAGGCAGTGCCTCCGCATCGTCGCCGGTTGTGGCCGGCTTCTGGGTTTTCTGTGCCTTGTCCACGTAGATATTCAGGATTGCCTCGATGCCCGGATAGAGCACAAAGTTGGTGGTCCTTATTTTCTTGTCGATGAGGTAAGATGTCACCGATTCCGTATTGAAGGCAATGTCCAAGGCATCGCTATGCGTCACCTTGTCGAGCAGCGTGCGCTGCACTTTGATCACACAATTCTCAAACCCGTTCACCTTGATGCTGAGATCTAAATTGTAAGCGGCATCGATGTCCGGCCATCGCTGGGCTAGCACATCCTCGCTCCATTGCAGCTCCTGGCTGGCAGGATTTAGTCGGCCTGGTATGGCCACAAACTTGGACCACAGCTCCGAGGCGAAATGGGGAGCCATGGGTGCAAGCATTATGATCTGTGCGGCGAAAGCTCGCTCAAATTGCTGGCCATGCCGCAAAACGTGCTTTGGTGTGCGCTGAAATGGGTATTCGGTTATTATGGATCGGGATAAATGGTAGTCTGTGAACAGGCTTACCCTCAGAGAGTTAGTCAGTCCCTGCATCTTGGATATAGCCACGCTGAGCTGATGTGCATGGCGGTAGTTAAAGGTTGCTCCCTTCACATAAAAGTTGCGGGCATCAAAGAGCTTGGCATTATCGGCTAGAAATTCTTCGCTGTTGGTATCAACATCCGGTGCGGAGGTGTCCTCTCGAGCCGCCTGGAAGTCCTGCAGGGTCAGCCAGAGGCGTTTCTGCCAGTTCAGAATGCCAGGAAAGGCTGTGATGTAGAGCAAATGTAGATTTTTGTTATCAAATATTAATAAGAAACTTACTGGCACTGGACCAATTGCGGTGAGAGGTGGGCGCCACATCGGCTAGGATTATCAGTCGGGTGGTGTCCGTGCCGTATTCGTTAAACATGTCGCTAGGCTCCACTCCATTCAGCTTCGACTTGGACATCTTCTCCCAGCCCATGACCACGGGCTCCTTGTTTTCCCTCAGCACTGCCTGGTTCTTCTTGGCGTTAACAATCTCCACGTCCGATTCGGGTACATAGCGTCCGCTGCCCTTCACCCGGAATGAGCGTCCCATGACCATGCCCTGAACTAGCAGGCGCGAAAAGGGCTCGCTGGTCGGCGACAAGCCGCAGTTGTGCAGAAAGTGATTCATGAAGCGAGCATAGTACAGATGCAACACGGCATGCTCCTTGCCCCCGATGTAAAGGTCCACGGGCATAAAGCGATTGGCCAGCTGGGGATCGAAGATGCGCTCGGAGTTCTGGGCGTCAAAGTAGCGCAGGTAGTACCAGGAGCTGTCCACGAACGTGTCCATGGTGTCTGTTTCTCTTCTTGCACCTTTTTCACCGCACTTTGGGCACTCGCAGAGGAAAGCTTCCTTCGGTGAATCCTTGGGCGGAAGTGTTACTGGCAGCTGCTCCTCCGGTACCGGCACTGCTCCGCACTTATTGCAGTGAATAATAGGAATAGGAGTTCCCCAGTAGCGCTGTCGCGAGATCAACCAATCCTGCAGCTTCGAGGACACTCGATAACCGCCCACATTGAGCCGCGTGGCGGCCTGGAGCACCTCCTTTCTTAGAAGTTCCCAGTTTCCCGGATTAAGACTGGCGTCCTCACCGCCGTTGCAACTGAATGCCAGTCCGTATGATTCCCACAGCTCCTTGTCCTCGTCGCGGAAACTGGGCGCCGCCAGGTAGACATCGCACTTTGCCGGAAAGTTTACCTCGTCGCCAAAGACTACTGGCATTGTAGTGCCCGCAAAAGGGTTCTCCACGCTGAGGCTGCTCGCGTCTTTCAGCTGCGACAGATGGTGCTTGCTGCGGAGCACAAGAAACGCATTGGGATCCTTTAAATACTCTGGGTTAGCGGTCCACACTCGCAACAGTCCAGAGGCAGAGGTGAGCAGGGTGAAGGCGTGACCGTCGCACTCTCCAATCCAGTGCCGCTGCAAGTTAATTATGTCCCGCCAGTCGCGTAATGTGGGATCTTCCAGGCCATCCAGCAGCTGCTTGGCGTAAGCACTCGTCCGTATGAACCACTGGCGCAGCAGCTTCTTCTCCACCTTGGCGCCCGAGCGCCAAGAGCATCCGTTGGCGTCCACCTGTTCGTCAGCGAGCACGGTCTTGTCCACGGGATCCCAGTTAACGAGAGCCTCGTTCTGATAAGCCAACCCGTGGCGATGCAGCATGAGAAACAGGTGCTGCGTCCACTTGTAGTACTGCGGACTGCAAGTGGACAATTCGTGGTTCCAGTCGAAGGAGCAACCCAGCCGTTTTAGCTGATCCTTCATTTGGGCAATGTTCTGTTCCGTCCAAGATGCGGGCTCCACACCGCGCTGATTGGCGGCATTCTCTGCGGGCAGCCCGAAGGAATCCCAACCCATTGGCTGGAAGACGTTCTTGCCGCACATCCGCTGAAATCTGGCCACAGAATCGGCGATAGTGTAGACGCGGACATGCCCCATGTGGAGATTACCCGAGGGATACGGGAACATCGATAGCACGTAGTACTTGTCTTGGGCTTTCTTGGGGTTGAACTGGCCACCGCTGAGCTGATCCCGCCAATGTCCCTCAATCCTGTGTTTTACATCGCTTGTTAGCTCTAAATTCTGCGAATGTAATAGAATTACATTTAATTCCGGCTTCTTATTACCATACTCACCTCACTTCCCGTGCAGCTTTGAGTGAGCATGCGGCGCCAGTTGCTCAAATATAGCCCCCTCCAGGGCCTAGTATATTTTAGAGTCAGCATTTTGGGGTTTTTAATTGATTAAATTGCACATTTCCTTTCACGGCTATTAAATAACAAATTCATAAAACCCAACTGCCGAACAGCTGTTTTCTCTAACAGAGCTGCCACTTCGCCCGCTGGGCCGATTTTTGTTCCCAGAATTTTTGGCGGGAAACGTTCCAGAGTTACTGGCAAGGCCCCGCCCAGGGCTGCATTTCCGATGCGTCGCGCACTACGGCAACTCTTCGCATTTTGTGGTCGATTTTCGTCTAGGTGGCAACGCCTTGGCTGCATTTCGCGAAAAAAAACTTTACACGTAATTTTCACGGGGCGAGGCAGTGTGAAAAAATCCAATTGCACACGTTTAACCAAGTGAAATCGACAAAAAACCATCGAGGGACATGGGTGATTCCCTGGAGAACACCGACACTTCGGTGGATCCGGGCGTAAATGTGTCCATAGCCAATTATGATGCATTTGCCAACTACCTTCGCAAAACGGTGACCATTTTGCTGCCGGAGGAGGATGTGGTTTCTGCATCTCTAAACACTGCTCTGGATGACCCCGTCAACCAGGAGACCATCCGGAAGTTCCTGTCGGATCCCCAGGTGCAGGCGCTTTACGTCCAACGTAACTGCATTAAAGGTATGAACACGAATAATCATATCTTGTGCCTCGCTGGCAAACTTGGTGGCGAAGAAGTGCAACTGCACAAAATGGCGTCTCTTCGGCGAAAAAAAGTTTTTGGAAGCCTTTAACAAGTCCTTCTTTATTTAAAGACATTAAAATGTTAGTTTCTTAGCGTTAAATGAATCATTCTGAAGTGCGCTATCTGAATTCGTAACGAGTTTGTTATAAATCAATTCGCCAGATGGTTTTGTTGAATTCTAATAAGAAAACGTTTAGGTGATATTGCATATTGACGGTTGGATACCCTACCATTATTTCTATGCAGTTGAAAATAATAGAAGAAATACATTGTTTGCCAAACACATTTGTTTAATGTTAAATTTTTTTCGATCCTGATGACTTATTTATTATTCCTCCACTAATTAATTAATTATTCTTATTAGCAAATAATACATATTCAAAATAGTCGTCATGGTATTACAAGATATTATGTCACAAAACTTCTTAAGAATACTCCACTGGTTAATTCTTTACATCAAATATAATTTATTCCCGCATAAGTGTACCAATATGTTTAGCAAAATCAAGATGCCTATAAGAAGGGCATAAAAACAAGTTTCTGCGCATGACGTCAGCCCATCTGACTCACACTCCGATATCGATAGAGCGATAACTTCAGCCGAAACGATAAGTGCAACAGTTGTGTTGCCATTTGCCGGCTTCCATTTGTTTACAAACAAAGTGAGGAATTAGCTGGCAGCTGTTTGCCGGCACAGCAACAAGTTTGTTGACGGAAGCGACCTTGGAGGCTGCTGCTGATTCGTTGGCTGTTCGTTGACTCGTTCGCGACTTTGGGGCCGACATTGACATTGGCCGAAGGCAAGGTAATGGCACTGGCTCTGGCACTGGCCCTGACAATGACAATGGGAGTGTTCGTGGCATTGGCGACAGGGCCACATGTGTGGGAGCAATGACAGCGTCAAGGTCCAGCCTTGAGCGTACGAATTTCGAAGGTTTTTCCCTTGGCCGCTGTATTTCCGGAGGTCGAAGCCTTGATAATGAAATGATGTCAGTGCCGTGCCAGTGCCATTGAGCACCAAAGCCAAATGGGCCGTGTTAAATATAGGTGAATGGGAAGAAGTTGGGTTAGTCATGCGTTAGTAGAAATAAAATCTGTAATATATATGTATGTAGCTATCCTATACGAAGTATGTACGGAAGGAAAGTGATTAGCAAATACACCCTAACACACTCTCTTTCTTTCTTCAGAGGACGGAGAGCAGCCGGCTGAGGGTGAGGAGGAGAAGGAGCAGGTGACCTACCAAATCAGCAACGATGTCCACTTCACCAATAGCCGAATGGCCTCGCTGGCATGCATTAAGCGGGGCATGGTTGTGGAGGCGGACAAGTCGATCCACTCGCAGCTGCGGCTTATCAACTTCTCGGACGGATCGCCGTACGAAACGCTGCATGCGTTCATCAGCAAGTCTCTGGCGCCCTACTTCAAGTCATACGTCAAGGAATCAGGGCGAGCTGATCGCGATGGCGACAAGATGGCTCCCTCCGTGGAGAAGAAGCTGGCCGAGCTGGAGATGGGACTGCTGCACCTGCAGCAGAACATCGACATACCGGAGATCACGCTGACGGCCCATCAAATTGTCAACGTTGTTATTCGGAAGTGCTCGGATGAGGGTCGGAAGGCCAAAGTTGCCGACTTTGGCGACAGGGTGGAGGATTCCTCGTTCTTGAATCAACTGCAGACCGGCGTCAATCGTTGGATTACCGAGATTAAGAAGGTCACGAAGTTGAACCGTGATCCGGGCTCGGGAACTGCGTTGCAGGTAAGTGGGCAAAGAAAAATAAAGGCGAATCTAACTTATTATTAATTTGTATTCTTTTGCGTTTAGGAAATCTCATTCTGGCTGAATCTGGAGCGTGCCCTGTATCGCATCCAGGAGAAGCGTGAGTCGCCGGAAGTGGCTCTTACTCTGGACATCCTAAAGCATGGCAAGCGCTTTCACGCCACTGTTTCCTTCGATACCGATACTGGCCTAAAGCAGGCCCTGGCCACAGTGGCCGATTACAATCCTTTGATGAAGGATTTCCCCATCAACGATCTTTTGTCGGCCACTGAGCTGGAGAAGATCCGGCCGGCCGTGCAGCAGATCTTCTCGCATCTGCGCAAGGTTCGCAACACCAAGTACCCCATCCAGCGGTGCCTGAAGCTTATCGAAGCCATCTCAAGGGATCTGTCGCAGCAGCTGCTCAAGGTGCTGGGCACCCGCCGGCTGATGCACATCCCCTTCGACGAGTTCGAGCGCGTGATGAACCAGTGCTTCGAGATCTTTAGCTGCTGGGACGATGAGTACGACAAGCTGCAGGGTTTGTTGCGCGATATCGTGAAGAAGAAGCGAGACGAGCACCTGAAGATGGTTTGGCGTGTCTCTCCGGCGCACAAGAAGCTGCAGACGCGCATGGAGCATATGCGCAAGTTCCGACGCCAGCACGAACAGCTGCGCACAGTCATTTTGCGTGTCCTGCGGCCCAACAAGCCGGTCGTTGGCGATGACGGCAACACCGCTGAGACCAAGCAGCCGTACAGCTTGGACGCTGCCGATGCTAATGCCATCGAGGAGGTCAACTTGGCTTATGAAAATGTCAAGGAAGTTGACTGTTTGGACATCACCAAGGAGGGATCTGAGGCCTGGGAAGCCGCTGTCAAGCGCTATGAAGAGAAGATTGGTAAATATTTAAATTCCAATTAATTCGTTCGTTCGTTTATTAAACTCTCATTCACAGATCGCGTGGAGACCCGCATCACGGCCCATCTGCGTGACCAACTGGGAACGGCCAAGAATGCCAATGAGATGTTCCGCATCTTCTCGCGCTTTAACGCGCTCTTCGTGCGTCCGCACATCCGTGGCGCCATTCGGGAGTACCAGACGCAGCTCATTCAGCGCGTCAAGGACGACATCGAAGCCCTGCACGAGAAGTTCAAGGTGCAGTATCCGCAGAGCAAGAGCTGCCGCCTGTCCTCGGTGCGAGATCTGCCCCCGGTGGCTGGGTCCATTATCTGGGCTCGTCAGATCGACAACCAGCTGACGATGTACTTGAAGCGCGTTGAGGATGTGCTCGGTAAGGGCTGGGAAACGCATATCGAGGGCCAGAAGCTTAAGGCCGACGGCGATAGCTTCCGAGCCAAGCTCTCCATCTCTGATGTGTTTCACGAGTGGGCCCGCAAGGTGCAGGAGCGTAACTTTGGCAGCACTGGGCGCATCTTTACCATCGAGTCGACTCGTTCGCGTACCGGACGCGGAAATGTCCTGCGTCTGCGGGTCAATTTCCTACCAGAGATTATTACCCTGGCCAAGGAGGTGCGCAATATCAAGAATCTGGGATTCAGGTACGGATTAAGTAAAACTCACCGTGGTGAAGATATTGTATGTGATTTATTTTTCCGCAGAGTTCCACTGACCATTGTGAATAAGGCGCACCAGGCCAACCAGATTTATCCGTATGCTATATCCTTGATTGAAAGCGTTCGTACCTATGAACGCACCTTGGAGAAGGTGAGCTTAATTTGTTGAACGGTGAAATCAGACGAATTCGGGAAGTATAACTGGAGTACTCCAGTACAAGTTCCAGAATTAATTTAATATTTAAAGGAAGTTAAAAATCCATAAGGATTCGTCTGAGATCAACCGTATTTCAAAGGTCTTATAGTAACAAGAATATGGCAATTCATGTGTATTGCCAATATTCATCTTGTTATTATAAGATCTTTGCTCGTACATTTTTCATTCAACACCTTTGCCAAGCTCTTACAAACCAAAAATACACACACTTTTCACTCCCAAGATGTCACTAAAGCATAATTCGCTCTATTCTCTTGCATCGCTTTGTTTCTGGCGTGCAGCTTGAATTTTGCTAATACCACCGTACACTTTGAACACTTTCAACCTCACACTTTGAACCCATAAATGGTCACCTTAGTTATAGATATCCGCTCTTGAACTTAACCAACCGAAACAACCAACAACCTTTCTTTCATGCAGCTTAATAATAGGAGTCTAGCACAAAATTCTGTATTCAAGGTAGTGTCGTTTTTGTCCCCCAAAAAGTTGTTGTTTATTCCGTTAAATCCGTATACCTGCAACCTCTATTTGGTTTCCTAGTTTAGTTTTGTTCAACTCCTGCATGCCAATAAAAAGTCATTTATTTTCACTCTTGTAAAGCCCCACGCTAATGAAATGTCTCTGATTTAGATCGAGGATCGCGCCAGCATTGTGCCCCTTGTGGCAGGATTGCGTAAGGATGTCCTCAACCTGGTCTCTGAGGGTATCGGTCTGATCTGGGAGTCATACAAACTTGACCCGTATGTTCTGCGTCTGTCGGAGTGCGTGACGCAGTTCCAGGAGAAGGTGAGTCCGCTTGATTTCCTTAAAAACCTTGTTTGCTAATTGTAACCCCCGTTAGGTTGACGACCTGCTGGTTGTAGAGGAGCAGCTGGATGTGGACGTGCGTTCGCTGGAGACCTGTCCGTACAGTGCGGCCACTTTTGTCGAGATCCTGTCGAAGATCCAGCACGCAGTGGATGATCTCTCGCTGCGTCAGTACTCCAACTTGAGTGTGTGGGTTACCCGTCTAGACGAGGAGGTGGAGAAGAAGCTGGCTCTGCGCCTGCAGGCCGGCATCCAGGCCTGGACGGAGGCTCTAACTGGCAACAAGAAGGAGGTGGACACCTCCATGGACACGGATGCTCCGGCCCAGCCCACACACAAGCTGGGCGGCGAGCCGCAGATTCAGAATGCCGTGCACGAGATCCGCATTACCAACCAGCAGATGTATTTGTATCCCTCCATCGAGGAAGCCCGTTTCCAGATCATGCAGCAGTTCTTCGCCTGGCAAGCAATCGTTACCTCGCAGGTTCGCCTGCAGAGCACCCGCTACCAGGTGGGACTGGAGAAGCCCGTTTCGCAGACTTATCGCAACCTTCTGACCAAGTTGCCCGAAGGCAAGATCTTGGAGAATGCGTACGGCGCCATCGAGCACAAGGTGGGCGAAGTGCGCAGCTATGTGGATGAGTGGCTGCGCTACCAGAGCCTTTGGGACTTGCAGGCGGATACTCTGTACGGTCGTCTCGGTGAGGATGTGAACCTTTGGATAAAGTGCCTCAACGACATCAAGCAGTCACGCACTACCTTCGACACGTCAGACACCAGACGCGCCTATGGGCCCATCATCATCGACTACGCCAAGGTGCAGGCCAAGGTGACGCTAAAGTACGACTCTTGGCACAAGGAGGCTCTGGGCAAGTTCGGCACTTTGTTGGGCACCGAGATGAGCAGCTTCCACAGCAAGGTGTCCAAGTCGCGTACAGATCTGGAGATGCAGAGCATTGAGGCGGCCAGCACCTCGGATGCCGTAAGCTTCATCACCTATGTCCAGTCGCTGAAGAAGGACATGATTGCCTGGGACAAACAGGTGGAGGTATTTAGGGAGGCTCAGCGCATCCTGGAGCGTCAGCGCTTCCAATTCCCCAACAACTGGTTGCATGTGGATAACATTGAGGGCGAATGGTCGGCCTTCAACGAGATCATCAAGCGCAAGGATACGGCCATCCAGACGCAAGTGGCGAGCCTGCAGGCCAAGATCGTGGCCGAAGACAAGGCAGTTGAGACGCGTACCGTTGACTTCCTCAACGATTGGGAGAAGACTAAGCCCACGGGCGGCAAGATTCGTCCGGACGATGCTCTACAACAGCTACAAATCTTTGAGAGCAAGTACTCTCGCTTGAAGGAGGAGCGCGACAACGTGGCCAAGGCCAAGGAGGCGCTGGAACTGCAAGAATCTGCGGTGCCCAACAACAGTGCCGAACGCATGAACGTGGCCCTCGAGGAGCTGCAGGATCTGCGCGGCGTCTGGGGCGAGTTGTCCAAGGTGTGGACCCAAATTGATGAGACACGCGAGAAGCCTTGGTTGTCCGTGCAGCCGCGCAAGCTGCGCCAGCAACTGGAAGCCATGATGGCGCAGCTGAAGGAGTTGCCCGCTCGTCTTCGCATGTACGAATCGTATGAGTACGTGAAGAAGCTGATTCAGAGCTACATCAAGGTCAACATGCTGATCGTAGAACTGAAGTCGGATGCCCTGAAGGAGCGCCACTGGAAGCAGCTAACCAAGCAGCTGCGCGTCAACTGGGTCATCTCAGACCTGACTTTGGGCCAAGTGTGGGACGTGAATCTGCAGAAGAACGAGGGCGTCGTTAAGGACATCATCCTGGTGGCCCAGGGCGAGATGGCGCTGGAGGAGTTCCTCAAGCAGGTGCGCGAGTCCTGGCAGAACTACGAGCTCGACTTGATCAACTACCAGAACAAGTGCCGCATCATCCGCGGCTGGGACGATCTGTTCAACAAGGTCAAGGAGCACATCAATTCGGTGGCTGCCATGAAACTGTCTCCGTACTACAAGGTCTTCGAGGAGGAGGCCCTCACCTGGGAGGAGAAGCTAAACAGGATTAACGCCCTATTTGACGTATGGATCGACGTGCAGAGACGTTGGGTCTACTTGGAGGGCATCTTCTCGGGCAGCGCTGACATCAAGACACTCTTGCCTGTAGAGACATCACGCTTCCAGAGCATTAGCTCTGAATTCCTTGGACTCATGAAGAAGGTGACCAAGTCGCCCAAGGTAATGGATGTCCTTAACATTCCCGCTGTCCAGCGATCCCTAGAACGTCTGGCCGATCTGCTCGGCAAGATCCAGAAGGCATTGGGCGAGTACTTGGAGCGTGAGCGTACCTCATTCCCACGCTTTTACTTTGTGGGCGATGAGGATCTGCTGGAGATCATTGGCAACAGCAAGAACATTGCCCGTTTGCAAAAGCACTTCAAGAAGATGTTTGCCGGCGTGGCCGCCATCCTGCTCAACGAGGAGAACAACGTCATTCTTGGCATTTCGTCGCGCGAGGGAGAGGAGGTGCACTTCATCAACCCGGTGTCCACCGTAGACCATCCCAAGATCAATGAGTGGTTGTCGCTTGTGGAGAAGCAGATGCGCTTCACCCTGGCCTCATTGCTGGCTCAAGCCGTGCAGGACATTAAGCAGTTCCGGGATGGAAAGATCGATCCCCAGGCATACATGGAGTGGTGCGACAAGTACCAGGCCCAGATCGTGGTTCTGGCTGCCCAGATCCTTTGGTCGGAAGACGTAGAGGCTGCCCTCCAACAGGCCTCGGAGAACAACAACGCCAAGCCGATGCAGCGTGTCCTTGGCAACGTTGAGAGCACTCTGAACGTGCTGGCGGACTCGGTGCTGCAGGAGCAGCCTCCACTGCGACGTCGCAAGCTGGAGCATCTGATCAACGAGTTTGTGCACAAGCGTACGGTGACTCGAAGGCTCATTACCAACGGCGTGACATCGCCCAAGTCTTTCCAGTGGCTATGCGAGATGCGCTTCTACTTCGATCCCCGCCAGACGGAGGTTCTGCAGCAGCTGACCATCCACATGGCCAACGCTCGATTCTTCTACGGCTTTGAGTATCTAGGAGTGCAGGATAGACTGGTGCAGACCCCGCTGACTGATCGCTGCTATCTGACCATGACACAGGCGCTGGAGTCGCGCCTCGGTGGCTCACCTTTCGGACCTGCGGGAACAGGAAAGACGGAGTCAGTAAAGGCACTGGGCAACCAACTGGGCCGCTTCGTATTGGTCTTCAATTGTGACGAGACCTTTGACTTCCAGGCCATGGGCCGCATCTTTGTCGGTCTGTGTCAGGTGGGCGCCTGGGGCTGCTTCGATGAGTTCAACCGTCTGGAGGAGCGCATGCTCTCTGCCTGCTCGCAGCAAATCCAGACCATCCAAGAGGCCCTGAAGTACGAAATGGACAGCAACAAGGAGAGCATCACAGTGGAGCTGGTTGGCAAGCAAGTGCGCGTCTCTCCCGATATGGCCATTTTCATTACCATGAATCCTGGCTACGCTGGTCGCTCGAATCTGCCGGATAACTTGAAGAAGCTCTTCCGTTCGTTGGCCATGACCACTCCAGATCGCCAGCTTATCGCCGAGGTGATGTTGTTCTCGCAGGGATTCCGCTCCGCAGAAAAGCTGGCCTGTAAGATCGTACCTTTCTTCAAGCTCTGCGACGAGCAGCTCTCCAATCAGAGTCACTACGATTTCGGATTGCGTGCCTTGAAATCCGTGCTGATCTCGGCCGGAAACGTGAAGCGAGATCGCATCATGAAGATCAAGGAACAGATGCGTCAGCGCGGCGACGAGAACATCGACGAGGCGTCCGTTGCCGAGAACTTGCCCGAGCAGGAAATTCTCATTCAGTCGGTGTGCGAGACCATGGTACCCAAGCTGGTGGCCGAAGACATTCCGCTGCTCTTCTCCCTGCTGAGCGACGTCTTCCCGAATGTAGGATACACTCGGGCCGAGATGAAGGGCCTGAAGGAAGAGATCCGGAAGGTGTGCCAAGAAGACTACCTGGTCTGCGGCGAGGGTGACGAGCAGGGCGCTGCCTGGATGGAGAAGGTAAGCGGAGGGTTTTGGTCTATTAACTCTAAAGATCGATTTATTGGATGAGAATTCGAAAGGGGTGGAAATAAGTATATTCCTAAAGTAAAATCCATAAATTTTTTCAAAAATATAAGACAGCTTTCGTAAATTTTCTAATAGCTTTGCAATTTAATTAATTATATTAATTAAATTAAAAGTACTTAAAGTTCCTTTCCGCTCCTTATGATTTCTTGCCATTCTAATAAATCGAAACTAATCGGGCATGATGTGAAAATCAATTGTAATCTACTTCATATAACCATTCGCTTCACACATGCTTACTAACCGTCAGGGACTCGGCTCCACCTGGGTGGACAAAGTAACTAATAACCATACGAAGGAGTGATCTATTGTCATGCTAATAATATTCGTACTTTCCTAGGTGCTGCAACTGTACCAGATCTCCAATCTGAATCATGGACTCATGATGGTGGGCCCTTCGGGCTCTGGCAAGTCCACTGCTTGGAGAACTCTGCTGAAGGCTCTGGAACGCTTCGAGGGCGTTGAAGGAGTGGCCCACGTCATCGATCCCAAGGCCATTTCTAAGGAGGCTTTGTACGGTGTTCTGGATCCCAATACGCGCGAGTGGACCGACGGTCTGTTTACGCACATTCTGCGCAAGATCATCGACAATGTGCGCGGCGAAATCAACAAGCGACAATGGATCATCTTTGATGGCGACGTAGATCCCGAATGGGTTGAGAACTTGAACTCCGTGCTGGACGACAACAAGCTGTTGACTCTGCCCAACGGAGAGCGTCTCTCGCTGCCGCCCAATGTGCGAGTAATGTTTGAAGTGCAGGACTTGAAGTTCGCCACTCTGGCCACCGTTTCCCGTTGCGGTATGGTGTGGTTCTCGGAGGATGTGCTCTCCACGGAAATGATTTTCGAGAACTATCTGTCGCGGCTGCGCAGCATTCCCTTGGAAGATGGCGACGAGGACTTTGTGGGCGTGATAAAGCCAGCAAAGGACAAGGAGGAGGAGGTATCGCCCTCGCTCCAGGTACAGCGAGATATTGCTCTGTTGCTACAGCCCTTCTTCTCTGCCGACGGAATCGTGGTGCGCACCCTTGAGTACGCCATGGATCAGGAACACATTATGGACTTTACTCGTCTGCGGGCCCTCAGCTCGCTCTTCTCCATGCTGAATCAGTCGGCACGAAACGTGCTTAACTTCAATGCCCAGCATCCAGACTTCCCCTGCTCCGCTGACCAATTAGAGCACTATATTCCGAAGGCCTTGGTCTACTCCGTGCTCTGGTCGTTCGCTGGTGATGCCAAGCTAAAGGTGCGCACCGATCTGGGTGACTTTGTGCGCAGTGTGACCACAGTTCCGCTGCCAGGTGCCGCCGGTGCACCGATTATTGATTTCGAGGTCAACATGAGTGGCGATTGGGTACCTTGGAGTAACAAGGTGCCTGTCATTGAGGTGGAGACGCACAAGGTGGCCTCGCCGGATATTGTGGTGCCTACGCTTGACACAGTGCGCCACGAGTCGCTGCTGTACACCTGGCTGGCCGAGCACAAACCATTAGGTGAGTTCATCTTCATGTTTCTTTTCGAATAATAACTTATGGATTTCTCACCCACCCTCAGTGCTCTGCGGTCCGCCCGGCTCTGGCAAGACCATGACCCTGTTCTCAGCCCTTCGTGCCCTTCCTGATATGGAGGTGGTGGGTTTGAACTTCTCGTCAGCAACTACTCCTGAGCTTCTGCTGAAGACCTTCGATCATTACTGCGAATACCGCAAAACGCCCAACGGTGTCGTTCTCTCGCCCGTTCAGATTGGCAAGTGGCTGGTGCTGTTCTGCGACGAGATCAATTTGCCAGACATGGACAGCTATGGCACACAGCGTGTTATCTCGTTCCTCCGCCAGCTGGTGGAGCATAAGGGCTTCTACAGGGCCAGCGATCAGGCATGGGTCTCTCTGGAGCGCATCCAGTTCGTAGGCGCTTGTAATCCGCCCACGGATCCCGGTCGCAAGCCGCTCTCGCATCGATTCTTGCGACATGTGCCCATCATCTACGTCGACTACCCTGGCGAGACGTCGCTGAAGCAGATTTACGGCACCTTCTCAAGGGCCATGCTGCGTTTGATGCCCGCTCTGCGCGGCTATGCGGAGCCCCTGACCAATGCCATGGTCGAGTTCTATCTGGCCTCACAGGATCGCTTCACGCAGGACATGCAGCCGCATTATGTGTATTCGCCGCGTGAGATGACCCGATGGGTGCGTGGCATCTGTGAGGCCATCCGGCCCTTGGATTCACTTCCTGTCGAGGGTCTGGTGCGTCTATGGGCTCACGAGGCTCTGCGCCTGTTCCAGGATCGATTGGTAGACGACTCGGAGCGCCGATGGACAAACGAGAACATTGACATTGTGGGACATAAGCACTTCCCGGGTATCAACCAGGAGGAGGCCCTACAGCGCCCGATCCTCTACAGCAACTGGCTGAGCAAGGACTACATGCCTGTAAATCGAGAGGAGCTGCGCGATTACGTACGCGCTCGGCTCAAGGTCTTCTACGAAGAGGAACTGGACGTGCCACTCGTGCTGTTCGACGAGGTCCTCGACCATGTGCTCCGTATCGATCGTATCTTCCGCCAGCCGCAGGGTCACCTGCTGCTCATTGGAGTTTCTGGAGCTGGCAAGACGACGCTCTCTCGCTTCGTGGCCTGGATGAATGGCCTTTCTATCTTCCAGATCAAGGTGCACAACAAGTACACCAGCGAGGACTTCGACGAGGATCTGCGTTGCGTCCTGCGTCGCTCTGGCTGCAAGGATGAGAAGATTGCCTTTATTCTGGACGAATCAAATGTGCTGGACTCGGGCTTCCTGGAGCGCATGAACACGCTTCTGGCCAACGGCGAGGTGCCCGGATTGTTCGAAGGCGACGAGTACACCACACTGATGACTCAGTGCAAGGAGGGCGCCCAGCGTGAGGGCCTCATGCTGGACTCCAGCGACGAGCTGTACAAATGGTTCACCCAGCAGGTGATGCGCAACCTTCACGTTGTCTTCACCATGAATCCGTCCACCGACGGACTCAAGGATCGTGCCGCCACCTCCCCGGCCCTGTTCAATCGTTGTGTGCTGAACTGGTTCGGTGACTGGTCGGATTCTGCTCTATTCCAAGTGGGCAAGGAGTTCACAACGCGCGTGGACCTGGAAAAGCCCAACTGGCATGCACCGGACTTCTTCCCTTCCGTTTGCCCCCTGGTTCCGGCCAATCCTACCCACCGCGATGCCGTTATCAATTCCTGTGTGTATGTGCATCAGACACTTCACCAGGCAAACGCTCGGTTGGCTAAGCGTGGTGGACGCACCATGGCGGTTACTCCCCGTCACTACCTGGACTTTATCCATCACTTTGTCAAGCTGTACAATGAGAAGCGCAGCGATCTGGAGGAGCAGCAGCTCCATCTCAACGTCGGTCTCAATAAGATCGCCGAGACAGTGGAACAGGTGGAGGAGATGCAGAAGTCACTGGCAGTAAAGAAGCAGGAGCTTCAGGCCAAGAACGAGGCTGCTAACGCCAAGTTGAAGCAGATGTTCCAGGATCAGCAGGAGGCCGAAAAGAAAAAGATCCAGTCGCAGGAGATACAGATCAGATTGGCTGACCAGACCGTGAAGATCGAGGAGAAACGCAAATACGTGATGGCGGACCTAGCTCAGGTGGAACCGGCTGTCATCGAGGCCCAACAAGGTAAGTTCTTCGGGCGACAATCTGAGAATGGGCGGGAACTTAGAGTAGTTAAGCTAAGACTAAGGTATTCCTATATATATAATGTTGATATCAGAATCTCTCAGAAATTTTTATATTGCCCACTTAATCTATACTTAATGCCGTGTGTTTAATTCCAACTCCACCAAAAACCCGCACACTATTCTCACGGTCGTCATCCTCACTCACCCACCTCCTACTCCAACAGCCGTTAGCTCGATCAAAAAGAAACATCTGGCCGAGGTACGATCCATGGCCAATCCCCCGGCCGTGGTTAAGCTGGCCCTGGAGTCGGTATGCGAGCTGCTCAACGAGAGTGCCACCGACTGGAAGGCCATTAGAGGCATCCTAGTCAAAGACAGCTTCATCTCCTCGATCGTTAACTTGGAGACTGACAAGATCACGTACGCAACTCCCTATATCTCTCTAGCATCACGATATCATCCAGCACCACAATTCACCCAAACAAGTGATGTCTAAACTCAAACCCACTGGATTAATCAGTCGATCATTCAATATATAACCAACCCATTCGTACCACCATAACTACAATATACTCTAAATATACATATGTACAAGATACACCAACGCATTCGCAATGCACTGGCAACACTCAACCCACCATAACCCCTTAATACTTACTCTATATTTGAATATGTTGTGATATATGTATGACTGACGTTCTGTTTATGTGAAACTAAAGACAGGAATCCCAAGGCGGAAATTAGTTAAGATATAGGTTCAATTTTAGATGCGTTCGGCTTGCCGAATCCTTTTTGCTGTTTCAGTGCATCCCTTAAATTTGAATTGGTATTTGGAAATAACAACAATTTTAATAATTTAACTCTGGAAGGGCAGAAAGTATCCATATATAAAAATATCTATATGGAAAATCGATGGTATGTTTGATATATCGAAATAATTTCAAAAATAAAGATATGCAAAAGTTTAGAAATACATACGACACAAATGTATATATATTACATGTCGATATATAAAACATAAGGATAATTTTGAAATGATATAAAGCTCGAAATTTTTGGTGATATATCATATCGGATATATCCATTCGAGATACATACAAGGTATGAATTTTACCTTTAACCAGACAAGGCGTTGTAACCCTGAATCAGATACAGGTCATATCGGTGGTCTTTAGTCATTAACTTTTAGATGGTAAACATAGCCTAATCTTAAAATGATTGTTGTGCTCAAACATGTATATTAATTCTGATCCTTCATGTTAACACCAATCAATCAATCAATGAATCAACTAACCGACGACGTGCAGCGGTCAAGTCTATACGCAAGCAACAGCTCGTTGAGGTGCGAACCATGGCTAATCCACCGTCGGTGGTCAAATTGGCTCTCGAATCGATCTGCCTGCTGCTGGGCGAGAATGCGACCGATTGGAAATCGATCCGCGCGGTGATCATGCGCGAAAATTTCATAAATTCAATTGTATCTAACTTTGGTACAGAGAACATAACGTAAGCATGAAACCAATTTATTCAAACACCCACATTTCTTCGTTCTCGTTCCCTCGTTGATGTTATTCGCCATAGTTTTTGAGCGTAGAAATTGGTTTTCAGTTATCAGTTGAGCTGTTTATTTCGTTATTACCTCTTGTAGTTCTGTTTTTGAATTGTTTAAGCGAGAGCTGCCTTATGGTTTGTAAATATAATTACATTTTCTAATTTCCAACTAATATCGGTTATTGGCTGTAACTTTTGTAACTGTTCTTGAATTCTCTTGGTTTTGGTAAAATTTAACGCCGATTCATAGTAATCCGACTGCTTTGCTTGCTTAATTCATTCAATTAACTTGCTAACTATCATTATTACTTGCTAATATATATTTATTTATAAACCCCAACAGCGACGATGTGCGCGAGAAGATGAAGTCAAAGTATCTGAGCAATCCGGACTACAACTTCGAGAAGGTCAACCGCGCCAGTATGGCCTGTGGTCCTATGGTCAAATGGGCCATTGCCCAGATCGAGTACGCCGACATGCTGAAGCGAGTGGAGCCGCTGCGCGAGGAGTTGCGTTCCCTGGAGGAGCAGGCTGACGTTAACTTGGCCAGTGCCAAGGAAACCAAGGATTTGGTGGAGCAGCTGGAGCGCAGCATTGCTGCCTACAAGGAGGAGTACGCCCAGCTCATTTCCCAGGCTCAGGCCATCAAGACGGATCTGGAGAACGTTCAGGCCAAGGTGGATCGCTCGATTGCACTGCTCAAGAGCTTGAACATTGAGCGGGAGCGATGGGAATCGACCAGTGAGACCTTCAAGTCCCAAATGTCCACCATTGTGGGAGACGTGCTGCTTTCCGCCGCCTTTATCGCCTACGGCGGTTACTTTGATCAGCATTATCGCTTGAACCTGTTCACCACCTGGTCGCAGCATCTTCAGGCGGCCAGCATTCAGTACCGTGCGGACATTGCTCGCACGGAGTATCTATCCAATCCGGATGAGCGACTTCGCTGGCAGGCTAATGCCCTACCTACCGATGACTTGTGCACAGAGAATGCTATTATGCTGAAGCGCTTCAACCGCTATCCGCTGATCATTGATCCCTCAGGCCAGGCCACCACCTTCTTGCTCAACGAATATGCCGGCAAGAAGATTACGAAGACCTCGTTCTTGGACGACTCCTTCCGCAAGAACCTGGAGTCTGCACTGCGTTTCGGTAATCCTTTGCTGGTGCAGGACGTGGAGAACTACGACCCGATTCTCAACCCTGTGCTCAATCGCGAGCTGCGTCGCACTGGCGGCCGAGTGCTTATTACCCTCGGCGACCAGGACATTGATCTGTCCCCGTCATTCGTCATCTTTCTGTCCACGCGTGATCCCACAGTTGAGTTCCCGCCAGACATCTGCTCGAGGGTGACATTCGTGAACTTCACTGTCACGCGCAGCTCTCTCCAGTCACAGTGCCTTAACCAGGTGCTGAAGGCCGAGCGTCCGGACATCGATGAGAAGCGCTCCGATCTGCTGAAGCTGCAGGGTGAATTCCGCTTGCGTTTGCGCCAACTGGAGAAGAGTCTGCTCCAGGCCCTTAACGACGCCAAGGGCAAGATTCTGGACGACGATTCGGTGATCACCACACTGGAGACGCTCAAGAAGGAGGCCTACGACATAAACCAGAAGGTGGACGAAACGGATAAGGTCATAGCCGAGATCGAGACGGTATCGCAGCAGTATCTGCCTTTGTCGGTGGCCTGTAGCAACATCTACTTTACCATGGACAGCCTGAACCAGGTGCACTTCCTCTACCAGTACTCGCTGAAGATGTTCCTCGACATCTTCTCCACTGTGCTGTACAATAACCCCAAGCTGGAGGGCAGAACCGATCATTCGGAACGTCTGGGCATTGTGACCCGCGATCTGTTCCAGGTGTGCTACGAGAGAGTGGCACGCGGCATGATCCACAACGATCGCCTGACCTTTGCCCTGCTCATGTGCAAGATCCATCTGAAGGGCACTTCGGAGTCCAACTTGGATGCGGAGTTCAACTTCTTCCTCCGCAGCCGCGAGGGACTGCTGGCCAATCCCACTCACGTGGAGGGTTTGTCCGCCGAGCAGATCGAGGGCGTCAACCGTCTGGCCACTCGACTGCCCATCTTCCGAAAATTGCTAGAGAAGGTCAAGGCCATGCCCGAGCTGGGCGCCTGGCTGCAGCAAAGCTCCCCCGAGCAAGTCGTTCCCCAGCTGTGGGACGAGTCCAAGGCTCTCAGCCCCATCTCCAGCTCCGTGCATCAGCTGCTGCTGATCCAGGCCTTCCGACCGGATCGCGTCATTGCCGCCGCCCACAACGTGGTCAACACGGTGCTCGGAGAGGACTTCATGCCCAACGCTGAACAGGAATTGGACTTTACCGCCGTGGTGGACAAGCAATTGAATTGCAACACCCCGGCCCTTCTGTGCTCAGTTCCCGGCTTCGATGCATCCGGACGTGTGGATGATTTGGCCGCTGAGCAGAACAAGCAGATCTCCAGCATTGCCATTGGCTCCGCCGAGGGCTTCAATCAAGCGGAGCGCGCCATCAACATGGCCTGCAAGAGCGGTCGCTGGGTGCTACTCAAGAACGTCCATCTGGCACCGCAGTGGCTCGTGCAGCTTGAGAAGAAGATGCATTCGCTGCAGCCGCACTCTGGCTTCCGTCTCTTCCTCACCATGGAGATTAATCCGAAGGTGCCGGTCAACCTTCTTCGTGCTGGTCGCATCTTTGTGTTTGAGCCACCGCCAGGCATCCGGGCGAATCTGCTGCGCACCTTCTCCACGGTTCCGGCAGCACGCATGATGAAGACACCCAGCGAGCGGGCACGCCTGTACTTCCTGCTGGCCTGGTTCCACGCCATCGTCCAGGAGCGTCTGCGGTATGTGCCCCTGGGATGGGCCAAGAAGTACGAGTTCAACGAGTCGGATCTGCGCGTTGCCTGCGATACGTTGGACACCTGGATCGACACCACGGCCATGGGTCGCACCAACCTGCCACCCGAGAAGGTGCCGTGGGATGCCCTCGTCACCCTGCTTTCGCAGTCCATCTATGGTGGCAAGATCGACAACGATTTCGATCAGCGCCTGTTGACATCCTTCCTCAAAAAGCTCTTCACCGCCCGCAGCTTCGAGGCGGACTTTGCCCTGGTGGCGAATGTGGACGGTGCCTCTGGTGGCCTGCGCCACATCACCATGCCGGATGGCACCCGTCGAGATCATTTCCTGAAGTGGATCGAGAACCTCACCGATCGCCAGACGCCTTCCTGGCTTGGTTTGCCCAACAATGCGGAGAAGGTACTGCTTACCACACGCGGAACAGATTTGGTTAGCAAGCTGCTCAAGATGCAGCAGTTGGAGGACGACGACGAGTTGGCCTACAGCGTGGAGGACCAATCAGAATCCGCTTTGGCGGTGGGTCGCGGCGAGGACGGCCGCCCGTCCTGGATGAAGACACTGCACAACTCGGCTACCGCCTGGCTGGAGCTGCTCCCGAAGAGCTTGCAGGTGCTCAAGCGCACCGTGGAGAACATCAAGGATCCTCTGTATCGGTACTTCGAGCGCGAGGTGACCAGCGGCGCCAGGCTGCTGCAAACCGTGATCCTGGATCTGCAGGATGTGGTTCTCATCTGCCAGGGCGAGAAGAAGCAGACGAACCACCATCGCTCCATGCTGTCGGAACTGGTGCGCGGCATCATCCCGAAGGGTTGGAAGCGGTACACGGTCCCCGCTGGCTGCACTGTGATTCAGTGGATCACGGACTTCAGCAACCGGGTGCAGCAGTTGCAAAAGGTATCGCAGCTGGTCTCGCAGGCGGGCGCCAAGGAGCTGCAGGGTTTCCCGGTCTGGTTGGGCGGTCTGCTCAACCCGGAGGCCTACATAACCGCCACCAGGCAGTGCGTGGCCCAGGCGAATAGCTGGTCCCTGGAGGAGTTAGCTCTGGAGGTGACCATTACGGACGCTGGACTGAAGACCGATCAGAAGGACTGCTGCTTTGGGGTGACCGGATTGAAGCTGCAGGGTGCCCAGTGCAAGAACAACGAGCTGCTGCTGGCCTCCACGATTATGATGGATCTACCTGTGACCATCCTGAAGTGGGTCAAGTATGTATCCTCATCTCATTTTGAAGGGATCTATATTAATTCCAATTTCTATTCAAGGATCTCCTCGGAGCCGCGCATCAGCAAACTGACTTTGCCTGTCTACTTGAACTCCACGCGCACCGAGCTGCTGTTCACCGTCGACCTGGCCGTGGCCGCTGGCCAAGACTCGCACAGCTTCTACGAGCGAGGCGTGGCCGTCCTGACATCGACAGCCTTGAACTAAGTGCTCAGCACAAATTATCTTAAATCCCTTATATATTCGTAAATTACTCAAAGCTATCCCGGATCCCCATTTCCTTATGAAAAGTTATTTAAAAACAATTTTATGTGCTTAAAAGAAATCAGTAATGTTTTCGGAAATCGATTATCGATATTTTGAAGTCGATTTTGATACATTTTTTAAGTTCTAAAGTATTTTTTGAAGTAAAAGTCCATTCTTATAATTTGAATACTGTAAAATTTTAATTTTTTAAAAGAATTTGCCTTTTCCTTTACCTCATTATACTTATTGTACCCTGAAGCTTCTTAAAAATTAAATTCTTAGCAACCCCAGTCAACGCATTTTTTCTAAATATTCCTTAAGTATGGACAGTTGCTTGTTATTCCTCTGCGAAAGGAAGAACGAAGTGTTACTGGTTAAGAGTAGAGTGTCCTTTTTACATGTTCGGTGGATCAACGAGTTTGAAACGGTGGATCCGGATCCGGTGGTCATGAGAACCGAAGTCAAGTTTTCCCAATAATTTTTTATTATTCAGCTGGTGGGCATTCTAAGCTGTGGATAATGATTATGTCGCGACCTGATGAAAAGACCGCTCTAGTGCCCTGGATAACTGGCTGGTGCTTTAAGGACACCATTGTGGACAAGTTCAAAGCTTTGAAGGTCAGACTGTGCATTGGCTTTCCAGAGGTTTGCGTCCACAAAGAGCTTCAAGTCTTATACTAGCTAAATGTCGGGGGAAATTTAATAAAACCAATATTTATCAATGGGGTTGTTCTCCTAAAGCGTCCTCTAAATGTGGAATTTTAAGAACATGGTCTTGGCTGGGAAGGGTGAATGTTAAGGGTGGGTTCAGTTGTTGAAATAGTGGTTACAGTTGGTTGCTGAGAAGAGTTGAGAATCTCGAAAGGTGGCGCTTGATGTCTACCTTATATCATTTCGTGTTTCTATTTTTTGACTCAAGAAATACTTGATGATTTCATTAGATTGATACATTGTTTCCCTGCTGATTCCAAAGTGTCTGACCAACTACTTGATGGGAGGATTATGGATCGGCGGAGTGGAGGTGTGTGTTCCCCAAGAGTGCTCCCCCGCTGCTTATTCTCGGCTGATGGTTAAGCGTTCAAACATGCCCCATTGCATCATCCAGAAACTTTCGGTTTCTAGCCGGACTCTCGGGCACTGCGATGCCGGGTGAGGCCTGGACGACCGAAAGATGCGCTGCAGTTCTCCGGCTCCCATGTGGCGCTGTCAGCTACTTAAGCGTAATTGCAGTAAATGCAAATTTTCACAAATTATTCGAATAATGAGCGAGCCGGAGGGGACTATAAATGGGCCTCCGGATGGATGCAGTTCCCTCAAAAAGACGCGAGCAATCGGAGGCGGCATGTCGCTGGGAATTCTGCAACTTTTGAGCGTTATCCTGCTGATGGATCCAGCCGAGGTGGTCACTGGTCCTCCACAGGCCAGGGATCTGCCCACTCAGAGCCTGGACGAGTTCCGTCAGAGGTATTTGCTGCCGCTTATCTCTTCGGATACCAGGAACTGCAGCCTGAACGCATGCGAATCGCTGGGTATCGTTTCCCAGCTGCTGATGCTCATCAACGCGATGCCCAATGGTACACAGACAGCCTCCTCCGATGGACACAAACCCGTCGCCAAACCGAAGCCGAATGGACAGGCCAATGGTGATGGAAGTGGCAGTGGGGAAGTCAACGCCATGTCCCATTTGGCCAATTTTGATCTGGTGAAGAGGGTACGCCAGATCGAGAGTCGTCTCCGGTCCGTGGAGCAGCCCGTCTGGCACTTGGCCACCGGCAGCCAGATCGAGTGGAATCACTGCACGTCGGGCGTGTGTCGCTGCAACCCGGACACCAAGAGCTTCACCTGTTGGAATACGAACCTCAAGTCGGTGCCGGTCACCCAGGTGATACCCATGAATATGGTCAACATGTGAGCTGGATAGCTACTTTCTTTTTGAAGGATGTTCTTACGTATGCTCCTGTTATCCTATAGAGATCTTTCCCGGAACATTCTGTCCACGCTGCACAAGGACACTTTTCGAGGTCTTACGCTGCTAAAGGAATTGGACATATCGCACAATGTCCTAGACTTTTTACCCTTTGATCTGTTCCAGGATCTGGATAGCTTGCTCATTTTGTGAGTTTTTAATGTGTACATTTTATAATAATTTTATAATATTTCCAATTCAGACGCATCCAAAACAATCAGCTGGAGGACATTGATCCTCGCACTTTTTGGAAGCTCCGCAACATGAATATCCTGGATCTGAGCAAAAACGAGATAGGAATGCTGCCAGAATCAATCTTCTACCATGCCCAGAGACTCACCGTGATCAACCTGTGTGATAATAAGATCAACAACTTCCCACCGAACCTGCTGAGGGATCAACTAATGCTGGAGGAGCTGGACATGTCACGGAATAGAATTGAAGAGCTCAACTCTGGTAGTATTCATTATCTGACCAAGCTAAAGAACCTGGATTTGGGATGGAATCAAATATGTAAGTTCATAACTTAAAAATGTATTACCTTTCGTATATTAATTTTCGTCTTGTTTCCCAGCCAAAATCGATGATGATTTCTTTATGGGTTTAAAGAGTCTGCGGACTCTGACGCTGCACAACAATCGCATATCAACGCTTTCGGGCACCATATTCAATAATCTCGTCAACTTGGTGACCTTGGATTTGACCATGAATAGGATAAGTCATGTGATTAATTACTTTTCAAGATGTTATAAGTATTAGGTAACTAAAAATTGAATTAACTTTCCTCCATAGATCGATGGCCATGCCTTTGTGGAGCTGAAGAACCTTAATGAGCTGTTTTTGGGACAGAACTCTCTGTCCAGCATCCCGGCTGACCTGTTCCTAAATGTCAGTGGTCTCACCCGGTTGACCCTGTTCTCCAATAACCTCACCACCTTGGAAGCTGATGACTTCCAGGGACTGAGCAATCTTAAGATTCTGCTGCTAAACAATAATATTCTCAAGAATTTCGACCCTATGGCCTTTGGGCCACTGACCCAACTGGAAAAACTGTAAGTTACTAGACTTGGAATATGAATTGTGATATAAAATTATTTTATTTTTCAGGCGCATTGACTCCAACAAGCTCATGTTCCTGCCCCATGGATCCTTGCATGGTTTGGAAAAGTTGGTGGCCGTCAAGTTAGACAAGAATCCCTGGCACTGCGACTGCCGGGCTCTTTACCTGGCCAGATGGATCCGAGAATTTGTGCTGAAGCTCTGGGATGGACAGCAGCCAATGTGCCGAGGTCCTGGCGACTTGGGGGGTCACGAGGTGGGCCTGCTCCGCTATGACGACCTCTGTGATGGACAGTGGGCCAGCATGTTATCCCTTTCCCCAAGGCTTCCCGTTCGCAAGCATCAGATATCCACGCCCATGAACTACACGGACTACTTTAATCTCTATCTGAAGCACATCTATAATGGCACCACCGATGAGGAGCTCAAGGAGGCCGAGATAACCAGTGTGGCTATAAAGAAGGTTCACGTGGATTAAAAATGATTAATCATATTTATATTAGTATAGCATAATTAGTTGTTTCATTTTGTAGATTGTTCCATAACTAAAGCCAAAATCAATCGGTTCTATCAAGTTAAGTAATTACGTTCGCTGGTTTTCCTATCAAAGTTAAAAAACCATAGCTAAGTAAACAAATCATTATTTTGAATTATAACAACTTTTCTGTATTAGTTTTAAATTAATAAATATGCAAATGGATATTACAACCTTTAAAGCACCGCCACATTTTAACATTTCAATTTAAAATTTCACTTGTATTCTTAAAGCTATGTATCCTTTTTAATGTGATTCCCACACTTGTGTCTGCAACAAAACTTTGATTTTCTTTCCCATGCTCTAGCGCCAAAGTTTTCCACTTATTCTTGTCAAAACATATTTAAAGTCAATTATGTATTTCCATGGCAGACATTTAGCATTAATTTGCAACCTCATGGGCAAATAAACCATCTCGGTGGGGGCCTCCTCCTTCTCCTACTCCTCATAGGTATATGCATCTACATATTCCGACCCAACCTGGTTCTGGTTCGTTTAGGTCCTTGGCTGGGGTTTGGTGCAGTAACAGGAATTACGGGCCTGTCTCGGGCCTCGCGTGCCGCTTTTTACCGGTGTCTGCGTTTGCGACAAGCTTTTTGCCCAACCAATTTATTGCTTCCGCCCGGCCCAGCCTAACTTCGTTCCTGGAGCTATCTCGGCTCCTAGCCGGGCTCACTAGCTCCGCACTCCGCCATATCATTCCCGTTTATAGTTGCTATTCCTGTTCCTGCTCTTTTCCTGCCATCCTGTCGCCGCCGTCCTTGCAATTTCCATGTGTTGACATTGCCGTGCTCCATTCACTTTCCCACTTGGGCCCGGCGCTGGCGGCTTCCTGTTGCCAGTTTTGCCGTTTCGGGTCTCCGGCTCTTCCGCCCACCATTTTCGGCGGAGTCTCCGTCTCCACGGTATCCCAGGGTATCCCTCGAAATCCCTTGGCAGGGGCGGAGGCGACAACAAATGCATTTTATGGAAAATTTGCAAGGCAAATATTAAAAATTGAATGCCGCCATTGTTGCCCTTGTTGTCGCATCGGTTTTTGTTGTTGCCTATTTGTTTGTAAGTTGTCTGCACTAAGAGAAAACATTTGTGTATATTTTACATCAGAATATGGTAATTAGGTGTTTTAAAAGTTATGTATTTTATTAAAAAATAACATACATTTTCATTCTCTTGGATTATTATTTTGGTCAGAAGTTTGCAGTAAACGAACAAGTTATTTTAAACTACTTTAAGATCTGCACATTTTTTATTATTCTAGAATTTTAACTTTAATTTTAAAAAAATCGGACGACTATTTAATATAGATGCAAAAGAAACGATCGAAAAATTAATAGAAATCAATTACAATTTTCGCTGCGACTGCCCATTAAATACCAATTGGATCGTATTTTGCAGTCCAGTTAGAAAATGGATGTCATCTGGAAGCTCCCTGCTAAGCTTGATATCATCACTGTATCCCCTCTCTCGCCCACAACATCGCCGCCTTCCATTATAGCGGAGCGGAGCTTCCTGTGATCGTTGGAAATCAGTTCCCTCAAAGTCTTCGGGCAGAACGATCGTAAACGTCTCTTCGCAAGGAGATCATTAAAAAACAAAGTGAAACGGGGGAAACTTTCCGGAAAATCAACAGTTCCCCGTAGTGAAAAGTGCTAGTGCAGTGGGGGCAAGGCGTGGAACAGCACCAAAACGTTAACCAATATCAGTGCGTTTTTTCGATGCAAAATCATTGGAAAATTGCCTTCTTTCTTTTCTCATCTTAATCGTTTTTCTACACTCAATAAAAATCAAATGTGTCGCCGTCATAGTTATAAGAAAGAAAAATTAAAAAATCACCGTTGGGATCTGCAACAAAAGCTAATCTGCAATCGAGTAAGTGAAACAAAACTATTTTCTTTTTCTCTTATCAACGTCTTTCTTTTGCCCTTGAATATTTATTTCGTAAAAATATCGTGGCTTCTTGCCCTGGAAAGTGGAGCCTAAGAGCGAGAGAACCCTTTTAAGAATATAATCCACTCTTGCGGTTGTCAATTTTGACATTTGCAAAGTTGGAATGCTGCCTTTGTTTACCTTTTCATTCTTGGTAATTTGCAAGCGAAACTTTAAGAATCTCACCTAAAATGATTATCTACTTTAAGCCTTATTTTATTATATGTTGATATTAATAGTATTATTAAACTACTATGCCATACCATAATGATTATTGATTTAAGATATAAATAATTTATAACATGTTAATTTGATCGAAAAAAAAAATTATATAATATGTATAAATGTATTTCTTATTATTTCTTTCTTTTTACCAAAATGTGTCGATTCGAAATGATCTAATTGCAAACTTCAAGAGTATACACATTTCGGCAAACAATGTTAGCTTTATGTTATTTCATTTACTTATATAAATTAATGCATTTTTGACTTAATTATGATCAATTGCACATTCGATCCCATTATCCAATGGCAAAGTTATACAAACTTTGGATTCCCCAAGTTAGTTTTCATTTTTGTTGTTACCTTTATTTATATTTTTTCAAAGCAAGCAATTTTTCCAAGAAGCTTTACATTACTTCGATTTTATGGTAATTTCTGGGATAAACAAATATATTTTAAAAATCTCTTTTTTCTTTCAATGAAAACAGCCAGCCAATAATATTTAACGTTTATATTTTTGGTGTCTCAAACACTAATATTTGTATTTAAAGCATAGGGCTATGACTGCAGTCTCTAGAAAAAATGATATCCTTCCAGGACATGCAGTTTTTATCTGTGCACTTTAAAGTTGAAAAGTGATTTGCTTTTTTCCTGTGTGGTTGGGGAAATCGGCGCTGATTGCCTCTGAGTGGCTCGACTCCGTTTTCTGACACGGCTTCAAAAGGGGTAAAAAAATAAATAAAGACAGAAAAAATACAAAAATGTCAACCCTTTTCCGCCCCCTAAAAATACAACAATATGTAATCATATTTTTCTTTATACGCTACGCACGCGTCATTGTTAAATACGATATGAGGGGGTTGGGAAACTAGAGGAAGGGGTTGTGGAAAGCCTCAGGGGGAGTGGAGGGAAGGTGGCGGTGACGGCGGCGGTGCGAATGTGAATCCTGCTATCAGTCGCATCTGTCTTGCTCCATAGTCGTTGCTGTTGCTGCCTTAAGCGGAAGTAAAAGGATTTGAATTGCCTTTTGCTAACAAAATAACAAAACACCCTTAATGTATGCAAATTCCCCCAAGTTTAAAGTCTCCTGCCAGCTAAGCAAACATCTTAGCGTCTTAGCAGCGCTTCGCCTCGAGCCTACGGAGACGTTTTAAAGGATTCCTTTGGATTCCAGGACCTCCCCGAGGACACACTCCTCTATCCAGTCAATGACCAATTGCCGTCAAAGTGTTTTTCTTTTTCGGCTGCCAGGATAACAGCGGGAAGGTCAATTTGGACAGCTTGGAAATACGAAAACTTCAAATTGAATTTATTGAATTGAATCATGAATATATTTGAAGTAAAGGGTTAGCTTGCTGGAATAGTTTTACTTCTAGGAACTATTTATTGGTCTACAATAATTTAATTCCTCAAAACTATTTGTTAATAGTGCTACTTTTGAATAAAAAATAATAATGGTTAATTGTAATGGTTAATAACTGGTTAAAAACAGTTTAAGCATTTCAAAAACAAATGAATTCATAATTTTAAATGACCACAATTAAAACACTATTGCTGAAACTGTGTAATACTAAAATAAAATATATCTTATTGTCGATTTAGTTGGTATTTCAAATATTTTTGTTTTGTATTTTCAGTGAACTTTATTTATTTTCAAAATAAAAGAGAAAGCTTTAAACAGGACATTTACTAAATTGTACATAAACTTACACAGGAAATGTACAAATATAATACATTTAACTAAGGTTTTGTGGTGAGTTTTCTGGAGAATCCAAGTTTCATCAACCCCCAAAGCTGCTTTCCCAACTTTCCGGTGCTGGGAAAATTGGCGACACTCGAGTTTTTCCTCGCCATGTTTGAGCCGCACTCAGAAGTTCACACTCACTTGCTCTTGAGTCTTTTTCTATGCACTCAAAGCACTGCTCAAGCGCGCGCTTTTGTCAGCGGATTTCTCTGTGAATGGCGCTCGGCTTTTCCGCTTTTCCACCGATGTCAATTGACACACTGAACTCGAAGCCAGTCGGTCACGATGGTCGCCGGCATCTGCTGTCGGCTTCCCTCCCCACTCCCTGCCCGCTGCAAGTTGGTCAAATTTGTGATTTATTTGAAATTTTTAATAATTTGGGATTGGGATTTTATTGTGTGGCCGGAGCCAAAATTGCTTGAATGAGCTGGCCACGCAAATTAATGCAAATTTCATGCAGTTCTAAAAATTGCGAATGGGTCTGGACTATGGTGAATGTATTCCGTAGTCCGTAACCCGTAACCCGGAGACCGAGAACCAACCAAGGACCGAAGACCGAAGACCGTGCCTGACCTAAGGCAAGCCGCACAAAATTTGACTATGGAAAATTCACTTAGACGATGGCCTTTCCACGGCGTGCGCATGAAAAGTTTTTGCCACACTTTTCTTTTTGCTACCCTTTCACGGGGTTTTTCGAATGAAGCTTAAGGGTATTGCCAAAGCAGCTTAAATATTACGTATACGAAAATGTTTATGTTATTAATATCCTCAGGACAAAAGGTGTCCTGTTGAAAAAGTTACTTAAGACTACAAATTTAATTTTTATATGAGTAAAGAAATCCTTTACCGTTTTATAATTTAACCTTAGACATATTTCTTAAACATTGAAATGATTCATTTACCTATTTAGGGATAAGCTTTAGGGAAAATTAGAGGGCTTCTCTTCAAGGATAAGTAAGGATATATAAAGTTCGGTTATCATAAGCTATTTTCCTTTCGGTTTTTTTTTATATATTTCTTATTTTTCGTACATATTTAGCACATGCTGCAGGGTGTGAGTGCCCCTGGGAAGGGGCAGGGGTGGTGTGGGATCTGGAGGATGTGTTTGCTTGCCACTTTGGAGCAGCTACAACGCATAAAGATGCGACTTGGCGTGAGTGTGTTTACGTGTGCGTATGTGTGGTTGGTTTTGCGGCGCAACGGACTCTCCGGGTCCTCCGGTTCTTCGGTTCCTTGGCTCTCCGGGTACTGTGCAACTCCGGGTCTTATTTTTTTTCTCCCGCTAGGTCCTGCTAGCCGGCTGACTGCCTGGCAAACGCGGCGTATACTTAATTCGGTTTATGCCCGAACGTGTCGCACATTATTCTTATGTGCTCTCTGTCGGCTACGATGTGTGAAATATGCTGAATGTGTGTGCACAGCAATTTTGATTAGACTTCAGTCCCCAAACCCCATACACAAACACACACACAGTCACACAGTCATAGACAGAGCGACATTGACAAGGCCGCAGAACAATTAAAAAATGTTCCTTTTTGTTGCTGTACAACGATTTGTTTGATTTGCTCTAAGCGCGAAATAATGAAAATTATGGAAATGAAATGCCTGCCCATTGACCTCATTGAGCAGCCAGCTGAAGTGGATAAAAAAGAGGAGGAGGAGGATGAGGAGGGGAAGTAGGGAAAACCTTTTACCTTCGAGCGCAAATGAGTGATGATAAAAAGGCAAGAAGGTAATTCTTTTGTGTCATGGAAAACAGTGTAAAAGCTTCTTAAAATGCTTTTAAATCGCATAAATAAATCTTTTTTAATGTACACAACAACATGACTTATTTGTATTAGATGATTTTCAATTAATATCAACTGGAATTTTAATTGAATAACATAATCACATTAACTTATAAATCAATGAATGCAAATGTAACAGCTAAATGATTCCATTGCCATTACATTCATGCGTTAAGCTCTGGAAACATGTGTTGGCTTTAAATACCATTAAATTTACAACTAATTTATGGCTAAATAACTATAGATATAGTTTTTCTTAAACAGCGAGAATTATATAAAGTTTTTAATTAATTTAAAACCCTATTAAATACATAAAAGTGCTATTAGGTACAAGTTTCACAGGCTCTGTAGCCAAATAATAGGCACAAAAGTGCCGGCATCTCTGACCACCTTTAACCGCGGATTGGCCCATAATTTTTACGACCTATTTCGTGTGAAAACTGTGTCGCCATGGCATCGCCAGGACATTCGCGGTGACCGGCCAAGTGGGCAGCTGAGCTGAAGTGGAACTTTTAATTTCAATTTTTTATTACTCCAAATCTGCTTGCAGGAGCAACAGGACCAGAACACCACGAGCCTGTCTCACCTGTTTCACCATTGTGTCCCCGTTTTTTCTTCCCTTTCGTTTATTTTATTTTTTTTTTGTTCTTGTGGTAAGGGAAAGGGCTCCGGTGTGTGTGCGGCAAGTTTTGCGGCATTTTAAATACAGCAATGAAATGGTTTTTCGGTTAGTTTTTCCGGCGGCGACAGGGCTGCTTCTTGGCTGGTGGATACGGTCTACATTTATTGGCCCGGCGACAAATTTTTATTGCCCGGCGGCAGCATATGCCGGGGTCAGGTCGTCGGTTCGTCTTGCCAGGATTCAGGCAGAATGGAGTTTGTGTGGGGAAAAAGTTTGTGCATTCAGTGCCTGGGGCCTAATCACATTGCCAGGCATCAGGAATCGGGCAGGAATCAGACGCCAACCTTCGCAGTACGTGATGCATTTTTCACAAGGCGCTCAGTGGGACGGAAAGGAAAAGCGTCTTGGGTCCTGTGGTCCTCCAGATAGTTCAGACTTTGACTCACAATTTGACTTTTGATGTGGGTAAGTGTGTGTGTGCCCGCCTCGAGCACCATGGGTGAAATGCCAAAGTTTCCCTGCCAAAATGTTTGGAGTTTCGTGCAAGTTTTCCAATAACATTTTCGAGGGGAGGGCGGTTGAGGTTCCAATTTGATTCGATATTGAAAGCTGGAAAGTAACGCCCATTCTCCTTCACGTGGCAGCAGGTAATACCAAAGTTTTAATTATCAAGCAATAATATTGAATTTATGAAAGCGAATAATTCGATTTCTAAGCCCAATTCGAAAAGCAATTACTGCTCGAGCGTAGGGATAATTCGTTTGTGGTGTTAACTGTATGTATATCCTGTTACCAGCTCTATCCGTCCCACTGTGCACGGTTGGCATGTCAGAATTTGTGGATATTCTGTTTAAATACCGTAATGAAGTCTGCTTATACAATATAATGTACCGTGTTTGTGCTACGTGCCTGGGTTATGTTATTGCACGCCGATCCGCACTTCCGTTTCGTTGTTCCGCTTGCCAGGAAATTTCTGTGCGGGATTGGGAGCTGGTTTTCCGCTTCTTCGCAGCTCGGCTGTGTTTTTATTTGCGTCGGCAAATCTTAAGCTTGTTTAACTGCTCGTTAGTGTTAGTCGCTAGCTAGTCGGCCGATGTCGTTGCTGCTTCTTGGCGCTCCCTGCCGCTCCTTGCTGCTCCTTGCTGCTCCTTGCAGTGCCATCGTGACACCCTATTGTTATAACACGTTCACGACCTAGTCAACATCTCCAGCTGACTTGGCCCAGAGTCCCTGACTGCGACTTTGTCTGTGTTTGGCAAGCATCGGAGCTCACTGGCAGTAGTTGTGTGGCATCGCCATCGGGCCTGGCACTGACTGAGTGAGTGTATGTGTGTGTAAGTGTGTGTCTTGGGGTGTGTATGGGGATATGCCAAGGTGCATGCTAAGTACCGACCTCCAAACCCATTTCCACCTGCCGCCAGTCGATTCCGTTACACAGACCAAAAGCAGGTACTGTGGTTGCGATTTAAAATTCCTTCTTAAGTTTCCCCAAAGTATGCAGTGAAATAAATAAGTGAAGGTAAAATGATATTATACTTTTAATAAGAATATTAAAAGGTATCTCAAAAATTAAATTGCAAATTTTCAAATGCATTTCCAAGGATATTATAACCCCTAGGGAAGGAGTATTCATGATCATTTACTGGATTTTAGAGAACAAAAATCTTGTGAGTCTATTCAGTTATCTTATCCGCAAGTCTCTATTTATTTTGACTAGTCTACCCTGCTTTTAGGAATTATTTCCCCAACTTCTAAGCTATATTTCTCGATGTGTAGCAGCTCCATGGCTCCTCCGCCTGACTGGCAAATGTTTGTCCAGCATAATTGCGCTCAGCATGCAGTTTCCCTTTGCCATCACCGACCGGCTTGCTATAATATTTTCCTCAGCTTCAGTCTCAGACCGTTGCCGTTGCCGGGTGTTTTTCAATTTTCTCCTAGTTTTGCCTTCTTGCGGAGCTTTAAAGGATTTGGAACTTGTTTACGTGGCGTATTAGTATAATTTACAACGGAAGCCATCAAAGGCTTTGATGCGCCGCAGGCGAGTCTGGAAATTATTTTCCCATAGCCTTAACCGAACTAATTTCAACGTGTCCGCAGTTGCTGTGTGTTGTTGTGTTGCTGTGTGTGTGTGTGTTTGCGTGGGTTTACCGCAGGGAAAACTAAGCCAGGGTGAGTGTTTCCATTAAACAATTTGGCATGTGAAATGTCTGGAATGGGATCTAGATAAACAGCATTGGTTATAATAAAGTTCGAGGGTTTAATAAACTAATGAAAAGTTAATAACCACGGATTCAGATATAAATGTTACACAGAAAGAACAAATGATCCCTAAAGTTGTAATTTACATATTATTAATTGAAGGTAAAGTCTAAAAAGTTACTTACCAAGGTACAAGTTTATTTCTTTCTATCACTTTCATACTATCCAAAGATCTAAAGTTATTAGCAACTCTGAATATTTAATTTCAATTTAATTCTTGTTTTGTGAACAGTGATATTCCCTTTTTTGTCTGTCTGAAAATCCATTAGCAAAATATAGCCATAGATTAGGCTCTAAGCCAGACACTCTTGTAGTGCCCAAAATACAACAACGGCAATAACCAAGTCCTGTTCATATACATATTTATTTACGTTTTTGCCCATTACAATTGTCGCAGCAATTGCTGGCCATAACAATTACCGTTTCGTGTTTAACCATAATAATCTGGCTGCCCTGTTGTTTGTGTAATTAAACAAATAATAAAGCCGAGTGCCCAATCCCAGCCACAGTCCCAGCCACTTGAGTGTTTTTATTGTTGGCCAAATATGAGTTCATGGGATTTTAAATGGTTTAATCAACTCGGTTAGCACTCAGCCACGATTTCGAAGGCATTTACAATGGTTTATATCGTTTGCCGAGGGAGTCCTGATTGTTTCAGCCTTTAGTCTAAGCGAGGAGGGGCAGCGTGCGTGCCTCGATTTCCCTGTAATATATATAATTTCCCTTTTGTCGGCCATCTGCCACCATAAATCTTGAGGCGAAATTTAAAAATAATACAGCCACGTAAGATTTATCGAAGAAGCGAACTGCTCTCGGTCGGCTCCTAAGGTGTAGGCCAGGTGGGAATCAATGGGCCAGGCCAGGATTTATGACGCAAGTCCGCAACAAATCTCCCCCTCTCTCCCTCTCAATTATTTCACAATTTCAGGTGTTTAATTAATGTATGTATGGTATTTTATTGCATTGTGTTCAGGGTATTCGTGTGTGTACGTATGGTTATGCATAAAGTATAGAGAGATAAGTAGTATTGGTAATAGGTAATGGGCATAGGCATAGTCGTAGGCATTATGTAAACACTAACTAGCGTTATGCGTGCTCGATTCAATTGCATATCACTTAAATTATAATTACGAAACGAAATCGCTCTGGTTGGTTAATAGCGCATAAATACAAATTAAATGCATAACCAATTGTTGAGTTATACGTCGTCCTTCGTCCTTCGGGGCTAGCTCCGCGCCAGCATCCCGTTGATCATGATGTTGGCCAGAGCGTTGCGCCGCTTCCTCCAAGCCCCCATGCCCTGGGCATGGTACTGCATCTGGGTGTACCACTGCTTCGTCCTGACGCCGTCCTCCGCCTGCGAATAGTGAATAAATAAAGCGTGGTGTAAACCCGTTAGACGTATTTGATTGACTGGACCCCTCACTGTAGGGGGTGTCCTTTTATCCCACTGTTCCCCCCCCCCCCTGATTTCACCCACCCCTCGCAGGACTTGTCACTGTGACAGGACTCGTGGATTGCGTATACGCACGTGTGTACAGGAGTACTCGGGGACGGGGTGTTCGGGTGCTTGGGCGCACGGGTTTGCCAGGATGTAGACTCGTCAGCTGCTCAGTTGGCCGGAACTAAACGTTTCAATTTATGCGCTGCCGACCCCCATCTGCCTACGTCATGGATTATTCCCTCCCTACACTCTTCAAACATATGGAACCCGATGAGTATACACTATCTTTGAAGAAAAATGTCACTTGTTCTGGATGAAAATTATTCTTGATTATTCTATTCAAATAATAACTGTATATTATAAAGGGTAAATCAATTGAATCTGTTATTATTTATATGGGTTTAGTTTTTATTTTAAGGCAGGTATCCAATATTGTAATATTATTTCAATGGTTTTGTATGTTAATATTAAACCATTAGGAAATATTAGTAATATTATTTGAATGGTTTTATATGTAAATCTATGTGCATTTAATTATTTCCTCAATGGTTTTCCAATATTAAATTTAAAACTGAGGCTCAGAGAGCACATAAAATTCGAAATTACACAAGCTGTTAAAGTTGAACTCAAAGGGAAGAGGGTACTGATCAGTCGAGTTATCAAGAATTTAATATTATTTTTTTAATTCTGAAAATTCTCTCCTATACATAGTATTTTTATAATTGTACTTTATTTTGTTTAATATTTTGAAGACATTCAAATTCAAAAATGAAATATATCATATGCTCAACATTTTCCAGATAAATATAACATACACCTTTTGTTTATTCTGTATTCTGGAGGGTAACCCGCCTGCCTGTCTGTCTCGCATTGTCCCCCAGTCTAGCGTTTCCAGTTTTCAGACCCGATCCCTGCCCGATCCTTTCCCGCCTTTCACGCAGCCATTTTGTTGCGCTCCCGTGCGTTTTTCTTTCATTCTTTATATAACGTATTTCAATAAATGTCATTCATTTTGGCAGCCGCTCTACGTGCGCTGCCTGAGCGCGTCTGAAAGGAGCCCCGCCTGCGGCTCCTGCGCCAGGACCTAGCTCCCTGCCGCCCGACGGCTTAGCCAGGCCTGAACCGGAGCACAAAATAAAAAAATAAAGAAAAGGAAAATAGAAATTTGCATGACTAAAATCTGGATGGCTGGCTGGTGTATGGTAGGATGATGACGATGATGCTACAAGCATTAGACGAGCAAAGATTTGAAATGGATTTTTGCATACGCTTTTTGCGCTCTGTCTGTTATTAAAATTGCTTTACTTTGCTTTCGCCAGGTAACGGCGGGGCTAAAGCCAAAGGTAAACTCTTCATTGTGTTGCTTCGTCTTCAATCCTGCCAAGGAATTCAGTAGCAGGACCCCAGGAAAGGTTATGGGCATGTGAGTGCGAATGAAGGAGCTATCCAAGGTTGACTTTTATTACATTCCAAAATGATTGTGCTGGAAGTACTTAAAGCTGATTCAGCGGCAAGTTTCAAAACCGCTTTATGTCGAATTTTTCTGGTTTATATGGTAAATCTTGGACAAGCATTATTGGTCATTAGAAAGAATCATATTTCGTCCATTTCTTTTTATGAAAAAGGAAGGAATCGCTTTAAAACCCATTTCTACATACTCGCATACTTTGTTTTGTACACATTTAAAGGTCCTTTAACCCCCCTGTTGTGTATGTGTGGTATTGTACCATTTCGCGGCCTGTTAACCCTCCTGTTGCACTGCTCTATTAACCACATTTCTAGGGCGAAGGAAAAAAGCCCCAGAACTATCATTCCCACTCCCCTCACCCACTACCCCAGCGAAAAGCGATTCCCACACTAAGCTGGAAAACTAACGAAGCCCAAAACACTGGCGTTGTGCAGTCAAAAGGCAGGCGCTCACTAATTCAAAAGCCAACTCAACTGGCACGGGACCACGGACCACGGACCATACGGACTCTGGGATACGGACTTGGGAGCCGGGAGTCCCGGACTGCGGACCGAATTGGCTTGGCCAGCTGAAGTGGAAAACAAAGGGCCAGGGAACAACCAAGCCGATATCGAACCCACTCTCTCTCTTGAACCCGTCCCCGTGCTACTCACTTTGAATATGAATGTGTCCTTCGATGAAATTTCCTGCACTTCGAAATAATCATCCCAATCCGCCTCGCTGCACACGACACATCTGTCCAGATAGAGCGGCTCCCGGATCAGCGTGTAGCGTCCGCACTTCTCCTTCACCAGCAGGAGCGAGGCCTCGCGGATGCCCGTGTGCTTCGGGAAGTTCAGTTTTTCCGACACGGCCTTCTCCGCCCTGTAATTGGCACTTGGCTGTTGTAGTTGTAGTTGTCGTTGTCGTTGTTTCAGGTTTAGTTGTCGTCGATGTCGGTTGGTGCGGCATAAAAAAGTCCACCAAGCATCGCAAGGAGGGGGAGCAGGAGCAGCAGGAGCAACAGCGGTGACAATGGAAAGAAAGGAGCAGAAATAAGCAAAAAATATAAGGGAAAATTCTGTAAAACGAAACTAAACAAAATTACAACTCAAAAATAGATAGGGAAAGGCACTGGCAAAAATTTAAGGTGTACATTCAATCAGAATATATAAATTAAATTCTTAAAATTAAATAAATTAGGGATGATTATCTAGGGAAAGTCCTACAAGTTGTATTGACAAAAATACTATCCACAGCCATATGAAAAATATTGTAAGCTTTGTGTTTTAGATACTTAAAGTACCCAAACCTATATCAGTTTGTAGTTTGATAACTAGTTTATTTTTCCCAAACTTTCCATATTTACTTCCTATATTTTTTGGCCAGTGTCTTAAACACCGTCCTAGATAAGGCTCTGGCAAAGAGTGCGCACAAAGCGTGTCAGGCCGAGAAACTGCCGCAGGAAGCGGCACCAAGAAGCAACTGGAGCCACAAGACCCACACGCTCATCCAAAACAAGAAGGAAAGCAGAAAAAAGCAAGAAACAAAATAATAAAAAAAAGGGAACTGGCAACGGACTCGGCACTGACCGTTCTTGAATTGAGCAATTGTCGGTCCAGAAATTTAGAGCAGGCCATTGGAAAAAATAAAAACCCCGATCGGAGCTGAAAAACCAAACAAAACATGTGACATACGCACTGCGTCCATGGTAGGCAGATTACGCCCCCGATCCCAGGACCCCAATTCCTTCCTGTCCCTGTCTCCATGTGCCCATCCTGGAGGCCAGACGACAGGAGCAAGCTACTCTTTTACTTTTTGCCCCGGACTAAAATGGCTTTTTGTTTTTCGGGGCCAGAGATAGTTGCTGGGATAAGCACTTTTCATTAGAAGGAAAAAACCAGGAGCATAACGAGAACGAGAACGAGAACGAGCACTAGCACCAGCAGGAGGCTGCTGGAGTCCGATAACCGGCTGAATGGATATGGATGCGGTCTCGCTTCAATGGGCTCGGCTCTGATTTGTTGAAATCTTTTATCGCACGGAAAAGTGTTGCCATGGCAGCCGGAACAGCTGGGACAGCCGGGACAGCCGGGACAGCCGGGACAGCTAGCTCCACAATCTGGTCAGCGACAGCTCCCGCCGCACCGAGAGAGGTTAGTGGCAAGCGCCGTGCGCTAATTGCCTTGGCATCGCCATCGCCATCGCCATCTCCATGACCATCGACTTGGCTCGTGTCAAACGCTCAAGCGTCCCTGGTCACCTGTCAAATGTGATGCCAGCGGAAGGAGGAGCGGGAGCAGGTTCCACAAGAGGTGCTCAGCGGGATAAAAAAAAAGGGGGAAAGCCATGAAAAAGCAGAAGCCACCCAATCTTTGTTGAGACGCCTCAAGAAAAATTGCTAGTTACTCGTGAAGGAAAGGATATCTATAAGAGGTCGAAGAATGTTAATTTGGAGTAGCTTAGGATTAAAAAGATAAAGAAATAGGATTTGGATAGGATTAAATATGGACACATCTAATCTATAAAAAATATGTAACATAAAATATGTTATATACACATTCCTAATCAGCATCAATAAGTGTGCTTATTTTTGCCTATACTCCTGTATGTCTTGTTTCTTCGTTTGATACCTAAGAATCTTTGGAATATATAATTAAGCATTCAAAAACCCTAAAAACCTCTACCAAATGTCTACTAAATCGTACATATTCTCAAAAATATCTTATCCTAACAAAATATGTATAAATACAATGCTAAATTTTATTTTTTGAGATGTTCAGTACGCACCTTGCCATTCGTGACCAATAGAGCGTTGACCGGAGTGAGTTTAATGGTGCGCGCCTTCTTCCAGTTGCTATCCGTGGGCTGCGTGTAGAGCAGACGACCCTCCATGGCGAAGCGGACCTCGTCATGGTTCCACTCCAATACATCGATGGCCATCTTGCGCAGCTTGATGTTGATCATGTCGATTTCGCAGGAGGCGCGACGGTTCGGACTGGAGGAGCTAATGCGGCGCCAGAGCTTGGTGGGCACATCCTTGGCCTCCTGGTTGATGTGGTTCAGGTGCAGTTCGATTTTCTCCTGGGCCTGCTTTAGCAGATCGCGGCCATCGAGGTGAGAGGGCGTGACCTTGTAGAGGCGGGCCAAGAGCAGGGGATATTTCGTAACGCGCTGAACGGGGACCTGGGGAAAGGTGAGTGAGAATTAGCAAGAGCTTTGAATTTTCTATTTGTGTTTTCGGAGTATAAATATAGTAAGAAATTGTTTGCCTATCATTTCCATTAAGGAATCAAAGTATGGACTCACCATTAGGAAGGAGTTGAGGTTCATGCGCCGCAAGACGGTGTTCTCCATCTGGGAGACCTTCAGGAAAATCCGCAGCAGTTCCTTCTCCTTCTCTAGGTTGGCTAGGAGCAGACTGGCACCCGCCTGGCGGACGCAGTAGCTCTCGAAGGCGTGCAGCATCTGGGTAAAGTCGAGAAAGATGCGCCCGATGTTCACCGTCAGCAGGTCATCGTCTCCCTGCTCCAGCGACATGTCCAGAGCGTCGCGCATGCGCTCGGCCAGCGTCTGGTTGTTCTCAAGCAGATCTTCCGTGTTGAGGAAGATCGCGGAGAGCTGCTCCTGGGTGAGCAGGCCGGCCACCAGCATGGGATGGCAGAACTCCTCGAGTATGATCTGCAGGTCCCTGCCGTACTTCTCCTCGGTCTCCACGATCTCGGTGATGATCTCCTTGCGCTCCACCCGCTTCTTGCCGCACTTTCGGCAGACGAGCGGCGCGTAGAGGACTCCACCGTCACCCACCTGCATCTCCACGGCCCCGTCACAGTCCTCGCACAGATGGAGTACGGTGGGCGTGGCCTGGTACTTGCTCCGCGATGTCTTGCTTGTCTCGGAGCCCACTCCGGAATCCTGACGCTCCACATCGCTCCCGGACTTGCCTCCGCTGCCGCCGCAGATAAAGTTGTGCGGTGGCGGAGATAGGGAACTCATGCTGCTCTGACCACTGTCCCGCTCCCGGTCGCGTTCCTCCGCCTGCCGCTTGTCCAGATCACTGAGAGTATCGGCTGCTTCCTCCTCTATAATCTTCGGGTTATTCCCATAGTCAAAGCTCTCTTCCCTTGCCAGGCCTCTCTCCTTGGCATCCACCAGATAGGAGAGAATGTCGTACTTGGAGGCTCCCTCGAAGATCGATCGGGCGGCCTTCTTTTCCAACTCGGCATCGTTTAGGGGCGGAGCTGAGAGCGGCAGTGGTGGCGGTACCTCGTGGATCTCCTCATAAATGGGATCTCCGCTGTGCCGGATGGACTCGTAGTGATGCTCCGTCTCACCGCCCATTCGCTCCTGCTCCGCATGCGTGGAGTGCTCGATCTCCGCCAGCGTGGCGTCCACCAGCAGCTGATAGAACTTAGCCCGCGTGGCAGGATCCAGTTCCAGCTCGGGATCCTTTTCGACACTCGATGTCTGTACCGAAACCGACTCCTCGTCAAGGACACCTGCGGCCGTTAGCTCGCTGGAGCAGCTCTGGTAACAGTCGGACTCATTGCCACCCGCTCCGGAGTCAAAGTCAAAGAGTTCGTAGTGGGCAGAGGCGAAGCTATTGGCGGAGCTGATGCTGCCCCGATTGGACAGGCGGTCCTCCTCTTTGGTTGGCGTCGGCGCCAGTTGCCGTTCCTGGCGGATGCGCTGCAGTGAGGCGCTGATCAGGCGGTTCATGTCGTCGTGGTCTTTGGTGCCGCTCATATCGATTCCGCGGCGGGCTTGCTGCAGTCTCTGCAGGCTGTTCTCAATCAGCTCCGCCACGGTCTCGGTCTCCAGGCCCTCGGCCACCTGCCCCAGCATGGGATCCTGCAGGAGTTTGGCTATAAAGCCCGATTCCTTGGCCGCAGGAGCAATTGGTGACGGATCTGCCTGCATTTTTTTGGAGCGTCCGCAGTCCGCTGGAGGAGCTCGTAGGCCACATACATGGGGTACCAGGTTGAGTTTGACCGCCTCCACGGGATTCCGCAGGATCTTCAGGAGCTCCGTCTCATGGGGTACCAAGGTCGGACTTGGATTGGAAGTGGGACTGCCGCCGCTGCTCGGCGAGGCCATCGGAGGTGGAGTGGCCGGCGTGGAACTGATGACAGGCGGCGTATTGATGGGCGTGCTGCTGGTGGCGGATCCCTTCCTTTCCCGCTCGTAGTCCAGGCGGATGAGGGTCCTGCCCCGGCCACTGGAGCTGCTGCTGCTGGAGGTGGAGCTGCTCGAGGTGGAGGAGATGCAGGACACTGATCGCTGTAGGTTCACCTCTGTGGCTCCGCGAATGGGTATAATGGCAATGCCCATTCCCATTCCCATCTGCTGGCTGCGCAGCGTGTTCAGCTGGTTAAGCTGCTGCTCCTGCTCCTGCTCCTCGGCGCTGCTCACGTTGATGCAGACGCTCGTGGCCGAGTGGCTGTTTACCACCACCGAGGACTGGTACAGCGGCTGGGCGGCATCAGCGCTCAAGTTCATAGTGGAGTAGCAATCGTCGCCGCTAATCAGAATGGAGGTCTTCTTGGGGGTGGCGTCATCCTCCTCTTCCGGGTGGAGCAGCAAGGTGTTGGGTCTGCGGCGCAGTTCCACACCCAAGTCGGAATCCTCCTCGCTGTGCGAGATCTTCAGGCGATGCACCTCGTGCTCACCCACCTGATGATGATGATGATGCGGCTGCTTGAAGGGCGCCACCCGCACCACCGTCCTCTGGGGAGTCGCTGGCGACTTATTGATTTCGTGCGGCAGCCGCTCTAATCCTTTGCCTGGTCCAGATCCTACAGCACTACCACCACCACCACTTCTTGGCGGCGGCGGAGGCGGCTCAGTGGGCCTCCTTTGAAATAAATCTCTCGAGTCGCTGCGGTTGCTTTTTATGCGCAGCGCCATTGTGTCCTTAAAATTTAAAATGACATTCTGGGGCCCACTGGAGACGGGAATGGAGTGGGAGTCGCTGCCAGAGGGGGATGCGGAGGAGGCGCTGCCTCTGGAGTGGGCGTGGACGGGCGCGGTCGACAAATGCCGTTCGCTGTGCGCCCGTCTGATGGGATTTCGCGATTGTGTCGTTTGTGCTGCACGCTTTTGACTTGCCGCAGGCTTGGCAACAGCATCCTTCGTCCCCATCTCCTTCTGTCCCTCCAGCCCCTCGACCTTTTTCTTCTTATCCTGGGCCACACAATCCCGAGTCCTGGCCGCCGCCTGCTCCTCTTCTGCCCTTCTAGTCAAGTCGTTGTGTTTGTTGTCCTGACTCTCATCCTTGTCGTTGTGCTCGTCATCATCGTCATAATCGCGATTTGCTGCTGTCGTCTTTTGGGTTGCTGTTGCTCCTGTTCCTGTTTCTGCTCCTGGAACCCCAACTCCCGCTCCTGGCGCTCCAACTCCTGCTGACGTGCCTGCAAAAGAGTAGATGGGAAGCCGGTTAGATGGTGACACTGGTGAGTGGCGTGTCGCAACTGGCAAAATGTTGCTTTTGTAAAGTAAATCCAAGACTGGCAAAGGAGTAGCATCTAGCAGCCTCCCCACCCAGATCCAACTGCTGCCCGATCATGAGAGTAATAGCCAAGAGCCGAGGGGGATTTGGCTTGGATCAGATGCGCCAGACAACGACGAAGGCACCAGGGTTGGCTAACAGGATAGGTTTCCCTATTTTTCAACTGGGCTATAGCCAGATTTGGCAGGGTTTCAAGGAGCTATCCGGCAAGGGTTTTTCTTATATTTGCTTAGCTAATATGGGATTGTTAGCCTATATTTTGTCTGAATACAGATTTCAATGTATAAGTCTTAAGTGGTTTAATCACAGTTTAAACTTTATTGAAAAGTGTTTACTTCTTACTATTTCAAATACCCAAATTTAAGTAAACTACCTTAACACTTAATCTGTCATTTCAAAGGTTTAAGATTGACTTGAGGGAAAGCGATTCAATTTGTTTATTTATTCACTGTACTTGGACTATTATTAAGTGTAATTCGGGGAATCCCCCCGAATGACTTTACCGGCTATTTATTTATCTCCGGTGGCAGCAGCACCTTCACTCGCTTCGGTTGCTGCGGATTTATGTTCGGCCAAATGGTGTAGTTGCCCCCATCTGCCCCGGGCAACCCACTATCATCCGAAACCGAACCCTTGTGGCAACCCCACCACATCCATACAGCCAATCCTCCTGCAATCCTCCCCAGCCGCCGCTTCCGTTGACAGCCACTTAAAGATGTGCCTGCCCGCGATAAGGTGTTTTGTTTCGGCTCTTTTGGTTTTTGGTTTTCGGCGGTGGCCACGCTTGCGGTTGCACCCACAGCGGAGAGCCACCACCCTGAGACCACCCACCCTGTGTGGGATGTTTCCCTCCTTTCACTCCCTCCTCCCATCCCGACTGACAATATGTACGTATCTTTATTTATGGTAAATTGGGTGATTTACGTTGCGGCCGATAAGCTTTGCTTTTCAGCGCTTGCCTTGGTTGTCCTTGTCTTGGCATTTGAATTGCCAGGCGGCTCAAGTCCTTGTAAATGGGCTTTTATTTTCGTTAGCCGGGTTAAGAGCCCGCACAAGGACGAATCTGTATCTGAATACGGAATGCCACGTTCGCGTCCGCCAAACAATTTGTGTTGGAATTAAGATAATAGATTACATTTAAATGTTTTGAGGCTGCGGCTGCCGAAAAAGGGTTTGCTTCTGTCGCCGAAATTTGAGTGCTGACGTCAGCCCGGAAAGGACACTAGCTCCTGCTCCTGTTCCTACAGCTCCTCCGCGTTTTAATGAGTGTGAAAAGTGAGATGGCTTTATGGGTTGCGGCCACCTTTTGGGTTTTATGTTAATGAGTGTCATCTGGAGATTCGAGCGTCTCCCTGGCTGCACTCTGAACCCCAGAGCGGATCGGATGAACGAAGGCTTGGTTGAGGACAATGAAATTAATTAATTGCGACAGCCACTTGAATTTCAACCGACAACCCTTCTGCTTCTTCTCATTCGATTGTGCCCAATCGTATTAGCCGTTCCCCATTCGAAATAGTTTGCCAGGCAAAATAGCAACAAGAGCTCGGGGTCGTGGCTCTGTGGCTCCTGCAAAAGGTAACTCGGTTTTCAGCCAACACTTGTCAGTCAACTCCTCGACACAAGTGGGGATGCACGGAGAGAAATATAGGAGAACATAGGAGGGTATATATAGGTGCGTTTTCTTTAACAGCTTTTTATTTGGAAGATTAGAAACTATTAAGATATAAAGTAAAAAACGCATGTTTAAATACAAGTAAGTAAACTTGAAACCCCACTTTGATTGATTATTTTTTCGTGTGACTCTTTCTGGTGTTGCTCTTTTTGCGCTGCGCCACTTAATGAGAAATTTGTTGAGAATTACGAGAACACTGTCATTGTCACTGGGAAGTCGCGCAGTCGTCGACTATTGTAATTGGTTGCCGCCTTGTCTTTGAGCAAAGATATTTAATTAACGCCTTTTGTAGTCGGATGCGATGCGATGCTCGGCTGCTTATAATACACTCGCTCCGCTCGCTCTGAATAAAACAAAAGGGCCACAAAAGGGAGCAACAAATAAATCCGAAACTTGACAAGCCAAGCGCATGCAAAAGCCTTCATTTATATAATTGCCTCCTGGTCTAGGTATGTACATCTTGGAAAACAAACACAAATACTCAAAAAATGAAACAAAACAATAAAAGGGAAAATATGTAGGAGAAGGCAAGCATTTTCCGGCCAAGCTTGAACTACATAGAACCTGATTCAATTAGCAGAGCCTAGTGGCTAACATAAAAATATTGTTAAATTCGAAATCAATACTTAAATTGGATCAATTTTGGGGGAGAATAGGTTTCGGCTTTTTCGGTTAGTTGGCAAATTAAATAAAAATCGGGTTTCGGCCAGGCCCGGGAAATGTAAACAAAGTGAAAATGGGCAGCCTTCGGTGAGGAGGTGAATCCTTTGGCCCTGTGCGGCTTTGTTCATTTGAGGAGAAAAAGTAATTAAAAGAGTAACTTGTCGGGATTAGTAAAAACATTTTAATTTAGTTGCCATGCATAACAAAAAGGGAGCCGAGGCGGGGGGAAGGAGGCAGGGAGGGGTTAAGGAAATGGCAGCAAGTCAAACTGAAATGGGTCAATAAATCCGAGCTTAATTTTATTGCTCTGCACGCTCTCTGCTCTTTTTTTCTGCTCCTTATACTCCTCTCGCTTTGAGAGGAAGAAATATAAATCGCAATGGTAAACAAATCAAAATAAATGAGTAACAAAAGCAAGTCCTGGCCGGGGCTATGTGAGCTCAGCTTGGCTTTTCCGCTCCTTGTCGGGGAGATTTCCCCTCCCCCCAGATTTTCCCATTTCCCATTTGCTACGTCTCCCCCCCTCCGATGTGCTGACAACCTGACAAACTGACTCCGGACTAGAGACGGAGACGGAGACGGAGACTAGAGACTCCAAGGGAGTCTGGCAATCTGCCGAGGAAACTCAGAGGGTCCGGAAAATGGAGGAGCAGCCAGAAGCAGCAAGAAAGAAATTATAGTGGCTGAGCAGGGATTGAGATACGTAAACGTACACGGATTTCGATTGGAATTGCGATTATACTCCCCAATCTACACAAGAAAAGAAAAATGTCACAAAAATGAAGAGCTAAGCAAATTAATTTGTAGAATTGTATTCTATATACTTTCTCTATTAACCTTACTTCAAGTTCCTAGAAATCTTTTTAATCAAGTAAGGAAACGTTTTGACATATCTCTCCATTTTAGAATACTACTTATTTTTTGCCAGTGCACATCACCCTTTTACAGCTGCAACATTATTGGGTCGGGTCCACAGCAAACATTGTGTACATTTTGGCTCATTTCAATAAGGGCACAAATTTTACTAGCCGGACATGTCAGAAAGCAGCCAAAAGCCAAGCTGAAGCAGTTGCTATTTTGATGGCAGCGACGGGTTAAAACATATAAATTCGCATTAGAAATGCACGAGTTGATTTGAGTTTCATTTTGGCTGTGAAACTGGCAAACAATGCCCACTGCACAGTTGCCACATCAAGGGGAAGGCAACCGATGCAGCAGCAGCAGCAACATCAACAAAGTGCAACGTAAGGTACTGGCAACAGCAACAACATTTAAGTTGCACGTTTCGCCGGTCTGTGCAACATTCATTTCCTTGTCTTGGCCGGGAAGGAATAAAAGGATGCCCCCTGTGCTGCTCCTTGTGCCTCAAAATCCTTTGTCTTGGCAGGGCAACAACTCAGCTACTCCTGCTGCCTGCTGTTGCTGCAGCTTCGTCTTTTTAAATGCGCGTAAACTACTTACAGGCGCATCCGCCGACTCCTTTATTGAGCCAAAAAACAATTGCAGTTAAAAGAATAGTTTAAGAAAAGATTTATCATAAATGACTGAAGAAGATAATGGGTAAGCTAGCAAAATATTGACACTGAAACTGTGTAGATGGGTTAGTTCCCTAGAAGCAGTTCTTTTCCTTCAACAAAATGTTTCGATTTTTAATTCCAACCAAGAATTTCTTGTTTTGCATGAAGACTATTTAACCTATAATTATATTCTTGGAATATTAGCCAATAAATCCAGAGCTATTAATATGAATGCAGTTGTACAAGGATAGATACACACCAGGAGGTACCATAATATATATTTCTTGGGCAGTGAACAAAATAAAAAGAAATATAAAAAACAAACTGCCGGCAAACATATTGCGAAAGTGCAAACAGCGAGCATAAGATGCGTTGAAAATCCTTTATCAGTGAAATTATTTGCGCAAGGACAACAGCAGTTGCGAAGGCAGAATGAAAACGAAATGAAAATGATTCCGACTCTGACTCGGACTCTGCCACTGACTGTGGCAACTGAACTGCTCCTGCTGAACCGTGCAGAGTTTGGCCAAAACAAACCAAGCGATTCCCCAGATACGCCTCAGCCCCGTTCGCATTCCCAATCCCAATCCCATACCCCATTCCCACTTCCCACTTCCCACTTCCATTCCCACTACCATTTCCAATTCCATTCGCGGCGATTCTTGGCCCGAAACTCGCTTGCCAAATGTGTTGGAAAATTTCTTGCTGCGAGAGATGTTAAAAAAAATCTCCGTTGCCATTCCATCCCACTCCATTGAGGCCAAGAAGCGCCAAGAAGCGTGCTACACTTTTCTTTAATGGCAGTCTCGGCGCTTTTATGTCATAAAAATTGAGCAAAGCGAGAGAACACAGTGCAGTGCAACCTCAATAAGAAGGATAACTAGCGCTTTATACTTTTCTAAATAAGAAAAATTAATATACTTTAATTTTGTCCAATTTTTTAATGTTTTCATTAAGTACATCTAAAGGGATAATTCGATACAAAGTTCCCATCACAGGAGTTCCACTGTTTATCTATATAGAACCAAGTCCTGGAGGGGGGTCCTTTTT